AACAGTTTCGATCGTGTCGTCGGCGGATAAGTGGAATTTGTTGATATTTGTGTGTAAGCAACAGGTAGAGGTTTAAAGACTGTCCGCCGTCACGCGAGCACGCGACGGACGGGTGCGGTCGTTCCGCTCGCCCCGCCCACCTCGGCTTGATCGGTTGGCGTCGTCGGCCGTGCATGTCCTTTGTGACGCTTGATAATTAACATACGTACATCTACGGCTATATAATGAGGAATAGAAGTTAGATGTTTCAATTACGTCTTTATGTTGCTAAACTAAATATTTTTAAACGCCGTTAGAGTCGTCAAAAATACGACTGTCTTATTATACGTTTTACTGTAAGAAGTTTTCGAGCTAATATTAAGTAGTTGGAAAATTAATTAACATTTATCTGTTTTGTCCGAATAAAAAAATAAATTCTAGAAAACTCGTTTTATTCAATATTAATTTTTAATGCTTCAGTACAAAATGTTTATAGGTCTGAATTTTCTGTACACAACAGTATTATTGACAGAAATACAAAGCACTAGTTCATCATAAGATAGACTGGTGGCTAAAATACTCGCTGTAACAAAAACTAAAAGTTTACTTACTCATTTTTTGGACATATCCTTAATCTAATAATCTAAATCTAATATTTTTAGTAAGTTGATGCAGCGGAAAAGGAAATGACAGTGAATCTTATCAATGCCGAGGCTCACACATAGCGTATTAAATCGATCTAACGGGTAAAAATTATTTATTTTAATTAATTTGCAACTCACCGTGCAGAAATCTCTGTTCGATTCTTTTTTAATGTATGTCATTGAAATTGATTTTCACTAAATAACCACCCAAAATTTTTGCTCTAGATAATGTAATGTAATAAAACCACGTGCTGTTTGATAATGATGTCAGAAATTGTAAAAACAAGCGAACATATATGAAAAGGATATTGAAATTGAAGGAGGCGAAAGATGTATGTCCCCGTCCAGTGAATCTTAACTCTCTTCTTTCTATTTCTGACAAACCAGGCTTTCTACGTCTTTGGAAATTTATTAAAAAACATAATATCAAATTATAAAAATAAGTGCTGCAAAATCCTCTTTTATGTATTTCAATGATCGTGGTTATAGTGATATTTGCTCTTGTGTTGTTTTTTTTTAGGTAGAGAAAGAACAATCTCAAGAAAGAATTGGTTAATTATAACTACCGTTCAGTCTCTTGAGTCACGTGTCTCTCTCACTACGGAATGTTGGCAAAATTTCCGTGTATAACGGAACAAATCCATATGAAAAAAAGACACAGTAGCTTGTGACATTCGGTCCTGCAGAGCGATTCTGTAAAAATCCGAACCCGAATTCGAATTCACTCGTGTGTCTGAATTAACGACATTTAGTGAAGAAATTCCATTGATTCCATTTTTTGTCTTTTGTCTCAGATATTCTATTCCTATGTCATTTCGAAACTCTCTTCACTTATGTCACGAGACGTTCTTACCAATTAATTCATGATTGAGAGGATGCCGCTTTTTGAAGTGAATTCGTATGACCTTGGTGAATTGGAATTCGGGTTTGTATTTACACAGTATCGCAGGTCTGCTTACCCCGCAAGGGTTACGGCGTGAAGATATAGATAATGTAATAATAGTCTCTGATTTTGATGAAATTGAATATAATGAAATTTTCAGATCTAAGTAAAACTTGCTTTATGTTTTATACTTCTTTTTATCCCTAGAGAGTGATCGGTATGCCTCACTCCCAATGTTGAATATGTAACAATCGTTTTTGTAGACACAATCAGTCGGGTGAATATTATGGTTAGTAGAATTTCAAAAATGTGTTTATTAGAAAAAATAAGAGGGAATAGCCGATTTTCGTAGAATATTGTTAACTTGTTTTTGAAGCAGGATTAATAAGCAGCTTTCTGCCATGTTATTTCTGCCAGGTTAGTTCGAATGGAGTTCGTGCAGTTATTATACTTATATGTGAAGCAAAAACTTTGGTCTCCACGATACGACCAAAATTACACGACGTGTATGAAGCTAATGATATGAAGTGTATGAAGCTAAGTTAATTTTGATAAACTGTTATATGATTACTATCTGTTCTGTATAGTCAAAAAACTATTCCGTGTTGATAAATTTATTCTTGATTAATCCAGCCATTTCTTCTCTATTAGTTACATTACTTATTATTCTCCTTAAATATGTTATTTATTACTGAAGAATTAATTACTTATATAGGCCCTTCAATATGGACTCTCCTTCGCGTGTTTTTCATTATACACAATGCCACAAGACTATCAAGCCTTTAATTATGTACTACGAGTATGAATCGGCATCGGTAATGTTCAGCGTATGTGTATTGCCAGCCAGTGTCCATTCAGCCGCCGCATTGAGCCTACGTACATACAAACACGCCACCGCCAGGCGATGAATCTGTCACATCCGCCACATACAAACGGACATGTTGTTCAACAGATCATTTAGTTCCCGACTGCGAAACGAAAGAAGAGAAGTTGTGCTAGGTAATCCGAAAACTTCTAAGATGTGTCTATGTTCACGAACGCTTTTGTGAAATTGACGTTATATATTTTTACACTTTTTATATTTATGTTCGTACAATAATAAATGTTGTGTCAGATATCCTGATCAATGTTTTCCTTACTCAACATCACATTCGGAGTAAATTGGCATCCGAAACATAAAACGAATAACCTACTTTATATGTCTAACACGTAACGGCTCATATAAATTTTATTTACCTATTTGCTTTCCGCTTATCACATAAAATTTTATATCACACGACTTCCGACTTTCTACTGTAGATACTAAAATATTCATAGAGAAATCACGCCCGTCAAAGTCTTAACGCGCACGTTAAAAATTATTAAGTTATTTTTACCTTTTATTTTCTACGCTTCCTAACGAAGCGAAGAAACCATAGAATATTCATAGAAAGTTCTCGACAAAAAGTCGATTTAGTGATTAGGTTTAGAGCTGATGTAAATAACAAGTGCGCAACCAGCTGTCTTTGAACTACCACATTGATGATGTGTAGCGTCCATCGTTGAATCCGTTACTATGAGAAGTCACTTACACTCTTCACTCCACCGGCAGTTTACATTATGGATATCCAACTCAAAACCCTGTTCCTTTCACTTGGCACAACATCTAAAATAGATTCCTTAGATCCGATGCCTTTCCGAAATGTCACCCTTCCATAAACATACTTATTGACTCGATAAGAGCAAACTAATTCTGCATTAATAAGGGGACGGATATGGCTTAGCTAATCGTGGTTTTGATTGATGAATTAATTATACGGTTATTTGGCGTACGAATTAAAATTAAAAGAAGGGAAAATATGCGGTCTTGTGTTACGCCTGAAGCTCCTCTGAACCTTTATAAGATGTTACTTATTAACCTAAATATTATATTTTCCTCATTGAATTTATCCTTATTCGGAAAGTTTATACCGATACCGAATTACCGAAATTTTAAAAGACAGAACACGCGTTCTACACTTATTAGTACTAAACTAATACGTGTAGAACGCATGTTCTGTCATTTGAAATTTCTAGTCGGCGTCGATATAAAAGTATTGTTGTTTTTTTCCGACCTTTACTAAATTAATAGTTTCAATGGTGGATAATGGTTTTGTAATGTTATGAATTTATTGTTTATGTTACGCGTGACACGTTCATACTTCTATGTTAGATAATTACCACAATTATAATCTGTTTTGAAATAATTCATATTGGTGGTATAGCTAAAAAAATGTTAAAGTAATGTATAACTAAATGTGTGTGAAAAACAGACTAGATCTATCAAATTGAATAAAACTAATTTTGTTTGATTATAGTCAAAAGACTAACAGTAAAAAATCTTGAAAAGTAGTCTTCTGATCGTTTGTCTTATGTCTTAATACAAAGCTATCTGTCGTCAATAATGCGTATTTAGAGGTGGTTCGATTAAAATAGCTTAATAATGTCTCTAAAATCGGTCGTAAATGGATCGCGTTATCGATCACAACTTTGTCTGCGCCGCTGTTTTGTGATGGATTATTTGTTTGTTGAGTATAATAAGTTCATTAATGTATGATTTTTTAATATTGAGAACGATCTTTGTTTGTTTAGAGATCGAAGTTCTTATTCTATTATGCTGATAGATTGTATCGAACACCAAAACTCAAAGAAATTGCGAAGTGAAATTAGCGTCTGAAATTGATTTACTTTGTTCGAATGTCTACGAAAGTCGTTACACGTAGCAGCTCTCGTAGCTCCAGCGGAGCGAGCGACAATGTAGTCGCTAATGATGTTGACACTGAAGCGCGCTGGCTGCCCCGCGTTGCGCCACCTTCCCGTTCCCTTCCCTCTCACTCACTGCACTTAAACCCCACACTTCAGTACATGTGAAGCTTCCGAAATTTCTCCAAATCACATTACCAGATATAAAATGTTTAAGCAGAGCGCTGTTTATAATTACATTACCTTTAACAAGCATAAATTATATACTGCTTCAAGATTTGCAATTAAGGCCATCATAAAATGAGATAAATGGATATTTTAGTCAGGAATACTTCAGTCGGTTATTAGAACTGTTGTAAATAGTGATTTCACTTCGTTTTATTCACCAAATCAATTTCAATAGAAAAATTTCTTTAATCAGCTTTATACATATTTATTTTGGTCATTATTTAAAACAGCACACGCAACGCAATAATTTCACTACTTATATTACTATGAAAGATAAATAATACTTGAGATATTTTTTACGACTTATGTTACAACTTTTCAATAATGAAGCAAGATAGAAAGATCCCGTTACTTAAAAAAAATTAACCACCTTAAAAAAAATCAATAAACTAAGTTAATAACTCCATAGTTATTGAGTAGATTGTGTCAACCCCATGGGCGGTTAATATATTCGAGGAACCTTATTGAAGTTTGTTAATAATGGCGTTCATTGCCGATGCCGTTTTTTCTATTATCAGTTTATACGATGTGTTTTGTGTCGTTAGGCTCCATCATGTTCCACGTGCGGCGGCGGCCGGCGGACGCTCAGCCGCGGCGACGTAAGAAGAAGGCCGGCGGCAGCATCGGCAGCGGCGGTAGACCCGGCAGCGAGCCCGTGCTGTTGGAGGTCACGCCCGATGGTACCGCGCTAGAAAACGGCCGCCGGCTACGCATCACTGACGTCGTCGAGGCAAGTTTATTCTCCCTGGAGCGTATGACGAAACAGAAATAAGCTTGTACGTGATTACTGTAATATACAGTACACTTACTGATCACGCGAATTTTATACCGTCTTAGAATGATAGTCTTAAAATCTTGATCTTGACCGCGTGATCTTAGAATTAACCAATATTGTGTTAAATTACGTACGACAGCTCTATGTTTGACTGTTTCTATTTATATAAGTTTATGACATTTCATTTGTCTTTGTACACAGTTGCAACTATCATAACTTAGATATTTAATAATTTTTAAGTACTGTATTGTCAATTTGTCATTACGTAAAGTCTTACTATCGGTTTGGTGTGAACAAAAAATGGTTTTGTATTGAAATGCAATAAGCTGTGTAACGCTCGCTCACATTCGCCGGCAGACGGTATTGGTTTGAACGCATTCAAAATGTTTGAATAGTTATTTTGCTATTTGTGCAGAGAAAAAAGTCATATTCTGATAAACCAGATTACATTTGACCGATGCCTAATTAATGTACCCCACAACGGATCAGACGTAAAGCTAAACGATAGGACATTCGAAAGGATTTCAAAGGCATATTATTCAAGATATAACAACTAACACTCTCCGCCAAATATACCGAAATAGTATTAATATTGTGTTCATCACTTACTTTGGGGTGTATTGTAGTGTGGGATAAGTATTTTTTTATTATTACCTGAGCTGACGTTAACTTTCGATCATCAGAGCGTTCAGATTTTATGGAAATCGCTACAGCGGCAGCGCCATTAGCAGTTACTATGAAACATTACAAATTTCCGTACAAATTCTTAACGCGCTCCCTAGTGAGCGCGTTAACGTAAAACTTAAACTAATCCCTCTGAGCTCTGATAAAATTTATTTGGTAACAAAAACCGACTACATAACTTTTTAGTACTACCGTTTTTCTCTGCAAGAATCCCTTGTCCTCGTTTGTATATAGGATTCAGAGTTTGTCTTATGTAAATCGAAATACGATATTGCGAGCGCACCTCCTATGTATCTGAACTTCGTAACCACAAAACGGTCCGGGAATTGCTGCCGTGAAGTGATATGAAGATTTATGTGATATTCGCATGAGATGCGTATACATTTCAGATGGGGGGCGAACAAATCGTAAATAACAAATTTGCTTTTCGGCTCTATAATTCCAGCAGTTGATAATGTGAACGACATATATATTTAATGAACAATTTGTGTATAATTTTTGTCGTATATGTGTTATGTAGGTAGCATAAGTGGTAATATAGTTAAGGACTATGAACGTTGTAGTAGTACTGTTGCACAAACTCTACTAGATATAGTTTTAAATATATCAAACTGGGTTTTGAATTCTGCATATAACAAAGATTCCAGTAGTAAAGTTATTATCTTATAATGCACAGTACAGGATTGTAATTATATTTCTTTTATTACATGTGAGTAAGACAACATGTCGTCAAAACAAACCCAAAATAAAAATAGTTATTTATTCTTTTTTTAGAATTTTTCAACTCTGTCTAGTAAATTTTGAGTTTACCTATCACAAAAACAAAAAAAAAAACTGTTTATAGTATTTCTTAGTAAATATAACAACATAATATATGATTCTGACGGTCTTGATCCCTTCGTTCATTGGTTGCCAGAACTTCTCGTGTGCGCCCGTACAATATCTTATTCTCCCAGAGGCGGATTTACCCTAAGGCCACAGTAGGCCCTCCCTGGCCTCGGGCTGCCAATAATAACAGAATATTGTGTGTAAAAATCTGAATGAGGGAAACCGTGTACTGGTATATTGTGTCTTCACTATCAGCTGAGATGGAAATGACAATAGCATAACACAACTTTTACATTTTAAACACTTCGAAGTGTTTTCATGGAATATCAAATCACTGTTATTTCTCGGATGTTTATTGTGTCAGATGCAATGTAATCCTATTGTGTAAGCATATGTTTATTCTAAACTGACATAAACCAAAAGATGGAAGCAATAATAAATTACATTATTTCATCACGACATAAGCACAACAATTTTTATAAAATGGGCGGCTAGTGTGTACTTCATCTTTAAGGACGGCTAAATTTGTAAAAGCCTCTGCTCTAGTCTTTGGCTCTGATCCCTTGAGTTCGTTATGTTGCGTATGCAGGATCTAAATATATCTTGTTAATCAATTCCAATACTGGACATATCTTTTTAACATCAAAATGAACTAGTATTTTAAGTACCTATACAAGATTTTCTAAAAACTGTAGACTCGATTCGTCTTTACTGTCGACGGCAAAATGCAGTCACGCTGTCAAAAATTAGACTGCTGGTTTATTCCAAGCTGTTCTAGAGTTTAGTTAATAAATATTTTCTACTAGTCCTAGTTTAAAATAGAGTACGAGTCGTTAAGAGAATTAAATATAATATAAAAATAATATATAATGGGAATAAACGTGTTAGGCCGGACATGTGAATATTTGGCTGGCCGCTACCGTAAAAAGCCAAACATATCCGGTTATAACCGGACACCTGGCAACCCTATCGCGGTCATTGTATTGTTTGACTTACTGTAGTGACATAGATATATTTACATAATACCTACAAACGTGCTGTGTTACACGGTAGGAGATTTAAGCAAAACACAAATCTTTAACTGTGACCTTTATAGATATTGTATCTGTTTGTTTACAAATCTGTTCTTCAGGTGGAGGTTAATTGAAAGCTTAGCTCCCTTCAACTGCAACAAAAATTGAGCCTTAAGGTGTCTTACTATCTAACTTATGAATTTTACGTATACAGCAGTTATAGTTTGATTTCGATTTATGTATGTCTGTCAACACTCCGCTAAAGTAAATTTAATATATGTCTTATTTCCTATCGCATAATGACGATCAACGTTGAGTCTCTTTTGACGTCTATGACGTCAGCTTAGCCTTTTAATAGGCGAGTGATAGACTAGCAGGAAGGCATCAAAATAAAACAAAGAATAGCTTGTCCCAGCTTTTGTTTTATAGTTTCGTTTAAATGCAATCGATTATACGATACTCTTATTTGATTAATACTGTGTAAGTTCGTTAGTGATGATGATGATGATGATGATGATGAAGTTCGTTAGTGCAGCTCTTTTAATGTAATTATATTAAAATCGTCCGCTGTTTACGTGACACCCAGTCCCGTTGAACACTAATTAGTCTTAATTTGAAATTTGTATGTAAGTAAAAAAAATCGATCGTTACTTATTTGTTTTATACAACGAGTAACTGAAGTCGTAATTTTGAGACAAACAAATATACATACATTTTATACATCAAGGATAATTAAGATGTTATATTTATATAAACATCAGCTTTGAGGAGGTTAATATGAATTAGCTACTATTATTTCTGTATCGGCGGTTTTGTATGATCGTTTTTTTTTGTAAATGGATATGCTTTTCTTTTTGGATAGGTGGGTTCGGGAAACGGCACTGCACTGCAACTATACGGACCGTCCATACAGCCGCGGCACTGCGTGGTGGCGCCCGCCGACGGCGGTGGGTACACGGTCACGCCTCTCCACGCCGACGCCCACGTATACCTCAACGGACGCCGCGTTACGCATACGCAACGATTACAGGTAAAAACACACTCTCAAAGGCAATTTTAACCGTGACTTTATTATTTATGTATGTTGTTATTGTTACGCGTTGATTAAGTAGTTTGGTACCTATCTAATGGCCGTTATCGTCACGTAAATTGACATTTTTGATAGAAAAACATCAAACACTTCACTAGTAACATTTTTGCTTTCGACAAATGGACAAGTGCATTTACTAATTTTAAAATTATAATGTGATGGCTCATATACTTGTACATGCGGAATCATCTTCCACTCGGAAGATAATCTAGATGACTTCATTGTATTCAGTGCTAATAACACGAATGATTAGTAGCTCGGTGGCGTAGAGGATAAGCGCCGCGACCCGCGATTGTAGTCGTTAAGCAACTTTCACAAGGGTCGGTCACGGGATGGATGACCAAAAAAAAAATTATTATCTTGAGCTACTCCGTGCTTCGGAAGGCACGTTAAGCCGTTGGTCCCGGCTGCATTTGCAGTCGTTAATACCCTCCAATCCGCATTAAGCCAGCGTGGAGGGTCATGGCCCATCCTACTTAACCATCCATAAGGAAGGCCTGAGCCCCTGCAATGGGGACGCAAAAGGGCTGGTGATGATGATGAACACGAATGATCCGGATGTAGTTTCCAATCGATTGTCAATAAATCAATCAGTAAGTCAATCGGTCTTTTATGTCGCTCCTTTAAGCCAACGTGCGAAAAAACACTCCATAGCAGGTATTTTCAAATTTACATTACATGAATTTTCCCTATCTCGTGTCTACATATTTTCACTTCTTGTAAAACTTTGACAACTTATTGCCAGGAAGAAAAATATAGCTGTACATACCGTATACCAATAGCGGTATAAAATTCTTTTGAAAAGTTTACTGTATCTAGTTAAAAGCATCCACAGACTCACTACGTTAGCAAAAATGCGTCGATGAGATGATCGACTACATAATAGAAACTTTTTTTGAACAAAACGTCAACTCTATGTCGTGTAAAGAACTAATTATATAATCTAATTCGTTTACGAAAATGTTGAAACATAGCCAAGGAGAAGCAATTAAAACGTCGAGGAGATTTTGATGAGCCTCTCGGGTTTGGTTTAGTTTTCAAATTGATAAGAACACTACTTCCTGACACACATCACTCAAAATCAAATTTAACTGGGCTGAACCGAAACATATATGTGAATTCCAACGTGTACAATTAGCGATTATATATGATCTCATTATATGCGCATAATTACTTCAACTATACGTATAAAAATCGATCATTTAATTGGAGTTTATTCATAATAACTTCTTGTGATCGGCGAGAGTTATGAATACTAAATTAAACGAGTTTCATAGTTCTTTACACTATTCAGACTTTTAATTCGATAATTATATACATATAATAAAAACTACAAAATTCGATACCAAAGCGGTTACTCAGTTTTCAAATCAAATATGGAATTTAATGAATCACAGATGTCACGGGTTCAAAATACGTCCAATATGTCTTAATTTGATCCACTTTTCGTAGACATCATCTATAACAGATACTCGTATTACATAATAATACAAATTATGAATTTAAATTTATTTTCTAGTTCAGTTTTTTAATATATTGAAGGAAAATATTATAATTCTACCTTCCCTGTTTCACCATCAGATTTTTTTTTAATAATCTTCCGGAAGTCTATTACATTACGTGTGTGCATAAAGTCGTTCCGTAACATTTGCGGGGCAATCTCCGTGAAGGAAGGCGCGTCTTACGACGCCACTCCTCGGAATATTCCCCGGGGTAGCACACGACACTCTTCGATGCGATACTTATCACCATCGGGACAACACCGCTTTTAGTGTACTCTGAAACGATCTCTGTAACATGTTACTAAATTAATTTCCTTCAATACCAAACACAATAAATACTTACAATGTTTATTCTTCGTGCGCAATGTATGTGTACTTACATGTCACGGTTTAGAATCGAAAAATGCCACAATCTGGCGGAGCTTTGACACACTACTCGATTTTATATTTTACTTTCACTTACTTTTACATATTTAATTTCTCAATAGCCCGACGAACTCGACGAAAAATAAGTAATAGCTATAAAAAACGCAATGTTTATAATCTAAGTTAATGTTTCGATTTCATAATCGTTTGTTTCCAAAAGTCATTCAAAATTTGACCCAATAAAAGAAACAAAAAATTAGCCCTTGCTTAGATGTCGCCTGTTCTCAGTACAAGGTCTCCTGCCTTAGATTTACAAACCGATGGCGTAGCGACTGTTATAAGTGTTTGGTTTTATAACAGCCTAGACTGGATAAATGATATTGAATATTGCGAATTGAAATGTCTACGTGAAAAAATTCTTGCAAATCGGGGATTTTAAAGTAATTGAGTAATAAATCTTAATAAGCATTTGCAAAATTAATCAATATCTATCTTAATAAGACCTAATTCGCCTGCCTAGTGCAATATGATTTCATGTACCTTCACATAATATATATAATAAAATAAATAATTATGATCAGTCGTTCAACATCACTGTGAGCTTAACACCATTAATAACGATCACGCTTCCGAAACACGTCTCCAATAGAGACATTTCTATTACACCACATAGACGCAATAAAAACGTCACATCACATTGCAACTCAATGGCTTAGAGCAGTGATGGACAAACTACGGCCCGCGGGCCGGATCCGGCCCGTATGAGGTTTTATTCCGGCCCGCCGAGCGTTTTTCAGAAAAATGTTAATATCAAAATTTAAATTAGATTATTTTTTTTAAACTTAAAATATTTTATCTACACATAAAAATCTCGTACTTTTTATAACAATACTGCTAAGTTGACAATTTTTTTTTGTGAAAAAGTATAAAAAATAAAAAAAAACTCATTAGAGTTTCTAAAAAATGATGTTTTAAAACTTTTTGCTTAGTAGCATTTCCCTGAATGTTATTTAATGACCGGCCCACGGCAATATTTTTTTTTTAATTTTCTGGCCCGTGGCAAGAATTTTTTTAATTTACCGGCCCGCTAACAGAAAAGTTTGGCCACCCCTGGCTTAGAGATTGGATACCGAGCTGACGATGAGTGTAGTTACAAAATAAAAAATATCTGCTATTATTAATACTGGCTTTTCTTCCTTTCTTCGCTCTTTTTCCTTCTAATTTTTCGACAATGTAAATTATTTAGGAAGTTCAGGATTTATCATTCTATAATGTTAAAGCCAACATATGCGGTGTTTAATCCCTATCATAAAACTTAAAATTTCCTTTCTAACTACATAACAAACGCGACAGATGACAAAATATTAGGGAAATATACTCGTCCACTATCTGATTTTTTGGAGCCGCGACTTCTTCCAACGCTTCCCTTCCCAAGTATTTTGTCCGTTGTTATAAGTTCGTATCTTCGATGTCGAAGAACTTATAAACAAACACAGAAAGCAGACTCTTCGCCGTTAAAATGTAACTCATAGGTCAAACAATGTTGTTTATGAAGTTTGATTAAAGAGGTTAAGTTTCTAACTTTGTTAGTTTATAGAGTAATCTTGGGAAATACTTACCAATAAAATTCTTTTAACTACGGGAAGCTATATTATACCCGAGTGACATAGGCTATAATTTTCTCAGGCGAATTCACGAGAAATCAGCTAGTTACAAACAGTCCTGTGTTATTATTAAACCTATAAATACCGCGATTCACTTAACTGTTTGCTTTTTAAATGCGGCTCGGCATCACATTCAGCATTTATAATTAATGCAAATTAAAATGATCGTTTATACAGTCTAGACCGTTAACAAATGCTTATGAAAACCGAAAAGCTACCATAGTTTTCATGTGTCAAAACATGCATTATAAGAGCTATGTAATATGAAAATAATAAAATAAATACCCATTTAAAACGCGCAACTATTAAAAATACACGTGCCCAAGCCTTCCCAATTTACAATGAAACATTTGCGAATTAAAGTATTTATAACTAGAGTGGCATAAACGAGTTGTTATTATTGACTTTTAATTTACCTCTTGGTCGTCTACTGTATAAAAGTAGTTATAGCTACACTCCAATGTATAGAAAATGCCGCGAGACTATAAAATTATCAAGTCCATTTATGCCTTATTTTTAATTTGTTTTATAGGTGTATTTAATTCCACTATTGTTACATTTGTTTTTTTTATCTGTAAAATTGTAATATCACGTCCCCTTTTTCAATATTTTTAATATATTGTTTGGTCATCCACTCAATAAGGTAAAATCAAATTACACACTGACAGACTTCTCTAACTTGACGTGTTGTTGACTGTACATTGATCGATGAGAATAATTGATGGTTTATTATTATGTAGATGTAAAGACTTACGTAGTGAAGTATCGAAAAAAAAACACCTTTCTAATTAAATAATGCTGATAGTCTGTTTCTGTCAAACACTCAACCAGTTTTTAAATTAATTATTCAGATTCATTAAACCCTCGTTTCCTTTAACAGACCATCATCTATTTTAATGCTGTACGGTTGTAAATTTTTGTTTCTCAGTAATAAATGTTCAAACAGGCATCTACGCAAACAATTGTGAACGAAAAACTCAGAAAACTTTTTAAAACATAATTTATACTTCAGCCGCAGGAAACAACTTTGAAAGCCAAAGTAACTTTAATTGGTTATTATTGCGGCTCGTTAAATGTTCCAGAAAGAAGTTTATAAAAAAAAAAATCAATGGATTAAATTTAGAATTGACATTTTATCTCCTTTTTCCTACAGCATGGTTGCCTGCTTAAATTCGGGAGAATTTCAACATTTCGCTTCATAGACCCTATGCAAGAGAACATTCTCAATAGGAATCTTTCACAATCACAACACTTCGGTTCAGGCTCCATATATGACAGGTACAGTAAATACATCACCCAATTCGCCATTTTATATGTTGTGTTCCGTAGATATTACCATACTTAATTGAAATCTCTTAGTTTAAATCCTAGTTAACTTATTCACGAGTTATGTTCAGTAGTAATTAAATGTTTTTATGTTTAACAATCTCTACTGATACCGACCACTGTCAGCTCAATGCTTCTCTTAATCACTTGTTTTTTTTTTATGTTGGTCATCTATCATTGTTGTTTTCTTTTGCATGTTACTATCACTGGCTCACGACCATCCGCTTGTATACGTTACATTTACGTTAGATCGCCGACGTCACCCGGGAGTGCTATGTCACCGGTGTCCGACATACACGTGGGCGACTCTAATGCCAACACAACTGACGACTACACGCGCACTATGAGCCCGGTCTCCCAAGATACCTATTACCGGGACGGCGACAATACTTCACGCTCTTATGCCGATGACAACACTAGATCTTACCGCGAGGAAGACGCAAATTCTCGCCCTTATGTCGATGACCAACGGGCTTACAGGGACGACGACCCCACCCGTCCTTACAATAACAACACGCTGAAACTCGACAACGAGTCTTTGATGATGTCCCAACAAGTTATACCTACGGATGAATTTAATGATGAACACACTGGGTCAGTTTACAATGAACAGGATCAGAACGCCACACCAAACAGAACAATTAACTCGCAATACAAAGACAATTACGAGACCACTTTTGATCTAGATGGGAATGTGGAAACTAAGAGCATTTGCAGCGCAAAGAGCGGCGGCTCCGGTCAAGACAACAGGTATTCAATACGCACTTAATCATATTTGTGTGATTTGTTTTTTATGTGATGTATGGTCTCGTTATATTTACGTGTTTGCACATCATTTACTATGTATACTGTGTATTTATAGTTCATACACGAAACGGCGACAAACTGAATACTTAAATAATTGTTTAGGAAATAACCCTGCACAATAATCATACACTAGAGACTCGGCCACGTTTTATGCCCGTATATTTTGAATAATTTAATTGTGATGTCCTCATTTCACAACACTAGATATAAAGAAGCGGCTCTAATGTAACTATAGAATATTTTTTTAATCTTTTGTTCGATACTCCAGGTATATTGATTAAAATATAGCATTAAAAAATAATGTTCTTATGAGTATTTTTAATAAAGCATGAAGATGAAACCCATGTTATTCGAGGCGTTACTTACAAAGTGTGGTATGTTTTATAGAATGAGCGCCGTAGTACCTGCAGCGCGACCTGGACAGGAAGCCATCTTGCCGGCCGTACTAGAGTTCCCTGAACAGGGCCAGGCTCAGTTCTTGGCCGCGGTGATAACACGGCTAGATCCGCACGCGCCCGCCTTCAAACTCGCACCAGTCTACACATTGTACTTGTGCGCAAGGTATGAAAACATTTTTCTTTTGGGTCAAGCGTATTTTTTTCTATTTAGTATTAATATAATTAAAAAATAACACACAAATGAAACACATTAATTAACATATAATTAAGATTTCTCGATAAAGGTCCAGAAAGTAACTAAGGTTCTATCAATTTGACACTTATTAGTTATATGCATATAGTTTTTAATTAATTTGAAGTTAATTCAAAACCTTAGGGAGTCTGACTGAAGTAAAGTATATTATTAGACAAAATTTCATTTATATCGCTCACTGAATTGTACAGTGGCACAACTCAAAAACCATAATTTTGGGAAACGCTCTCCGAAATTATGAAAATCAATTTTTTTAGCATAACAGTTAAAACGTTTGTATTTTATTATAACTGTTAAGTTTTTTATTTTTTCTTTAAATTATCTATGGAATGCCACCACAATAATGTGGCGTTTTCTCGAAATAATGGTTTTTGAGTTGTGCCACTGTACTATTCAGTGAGCGATATAATGTACAAAGATACTAGATTCAATGCGTTAGACGACCTTTTCCTGACGGGTGCGGGGTCGGAGAGCCCTGGTCTTAAGGTTGCATTTCCCCTGCTTTAAAAAAAGCATAATAGGTTCAAAAGCAATTATGGAAATTCGACAACTCTTTGTGTATAGATAAATTATATTCATTTGAAATTAGGTACTGAGGTAAGCAAAAAGCAAAAGAAAATTACAAGCAGAGTATAAAGAGTAAGTGGTCTTCATACATACGCACCGAAAAGGGTTTGTATTAGAGCACGCCCTAAAATTATCGAAGAGTTCAAGGCGCGAGTGACAACTCGCCAGTCGTGGCGTGACGCTGTGTTTGCGTAAACAAGATGGCTTTGAAAACTAAACCTAAATATTGTATATGCATTTATAAATCGAATATATAGTATTTCATATTTTTGTAAATCAAGTATATGGTATTTCGTTCTTTAAGTATTCGGGTTATTTGATATAATATCATAAGTAATTATAATTTTGTGTAGCTATTTACCCATCGAAAGTGTTTATGAATCATTTCTGCTCAAGATTTTGTTTACCAGATATCAATTTGTAGTTTAATTTATTAAATCTCTGTACCCGAATACCGCCAAATTAAAATAGATATTGAATTCTATATTTGCGTATTAGACAATGTAATATAAAAAAAATATGGGCCATTGATAGAAACTGTTTGTACAAAGCACATGATTATTAAAAATTAAGATCGGCATTAACTTATTTTGTTAGTAACCTGGAAAACCTGGAAAAAAAATAATCAATACATAATTCATTAAAACCACGTCTGGTCTAAACATTAAAAAAAAATACATTAAAAAGTTTTATTATAGTTCCCGGATGCTTACCATACCGCGGGAAACTATATTTTAGAGATTGATTGACCATGCATTTCTGACGATTAAATAACCTAGGAGCGACAGCCCTACATGTTTAGGCTATGATCTCTCGCTCGGATCTCGAGTGCACCTACTTATATATTTGTACTGTGCTACAAGTAACATTCACACGTAGCGTGTAGGACATTAAAAATAGGGCCTTAATTTGTTTTATGTTAAAAAGTTTTCAGAGAAAGCTCCAAAGGGAATGCAATCATAAACATTATTAAAAAAATTTTTTTTGAGGAGTTCTTCGCTGTGTTATTTATTATTAATTAAATATGTCAAACTCAATGTCAAAGTCTCAGTCTACATCAAAAACTTTAATAAAATAATTAACTGTAGACAGACTTAACAATAAAACTTGCTAATTGGATTTTAATGCCTTGACACTCTGTTTGATGATTTAGAATTACATTATAAAAGCTTACTCTAAAAAATATATTCTTTTGTGTCTTTCTTAACTTTTATATGTAAAGTTTCATGGGTGTCTATCCAAGTTTGAAAACTAATTAAGTTCTAATAGATGCTTGATCGCTTAAATTATGGAAAGATATAATTTTTTTTTATTAAAAATACTTTGTTGATTTCTATGTTGTCGACGCATCATTGAGACCTTTTTTACACTTTTTAAGATTTTCATTTATTTTCTTTTTTATTAATATGATGTTATAGATGATGTCATTGAACCAATAGAGTTTGTTTAATCAATTTGATACAATAGGGATTACGACTAATTTTTGTTTATTTATCTGTTAGTCAAATAATAGATAAATATTAGATACGTATCTTTTTCTTTTTCAATCAATAAACTACGCCGATACATTGAGTTGAAATGTCGCATGACGTCACGATTTTGTACATTTTCTACAAAACTATACGTAGCGAGCCCCCACTCCTCAACTTTAATGCCTATAATCTAAGCCATTTCTTGTTTAAATTGAAGCAAAAAAATACGTATCTAATATTTTTCTATTATCTGACTGACGGACTAAATAGAATTTCTTTTTTACGCAGTCTTCATCCCTATTGAGTTTAAGATAATTTTAAATTTATGTAAAAATAAACTTTTTTATAAAGATATCGAGCGTCCACACACTACCGGCCAGAATTAACTCCAACGGAGCGAGCCCATAAACTCACAGCGTTCCTACATCACGTCGCCACTCTCATTCACGAAACTGTACAGGTATATTTTCTTTTCTCATCATCATCAACTTATGCTGGAGCTTTAATGTTTGGAATAATACACAGCCAGATTAGTAACTGGCCAGCATATGTAGTGACGAACCCTAGAATGTTTTGTCTACACCCAAATATCAATTTTCTCGGATGCGCCCATACAACATCTCACTCTTGACTCGAGAAATGTGAAGTTTGATTATAGACAAAGCGTTTTTCGAGTGTATCATACTACTGGTACTCGTGAGCTGGTTGGTGGGTATTAGCAGCTACATATGCATCTGTTAGTTAGTATTTTTTAAAGGTCCGATTTTGAAGTCTATTAGATTATCACAGAAAATATTATTATTCAAAACTATTTTATTTTAGCAAAGATGCAACGACTCCGCAGCTCAAGCATTTTGGATGGCTAACGCCAGTGAATTACTACATTTCTTAAAGTGCGATCGACACATATCGTCTTTTTCGACACAAGCTCAAGATTTGTTGCCAACCACCGTGCAAAATGCCTTTAGGTAAGTTTATGAATAATATCATTTTCGTTGAAAAATACTTAATAGAATTCTTAAGTTTTTTTATAACAAATAATAAGTAAAAGACTAAGTTTATTGTTATTGTGTCATTATAGTTTCTTGCCTAGCGTAAGAAAATTTAATTCGACGAAATCACACTATATTGATTTCAGTAATTATGATATTTTTTCCAGACCGTTGTACTCTAAACATACAATTCAACTTACAGACTTATATTATCAATTGTATTAAATCAGTATTCTTAAAAAACAACTTATCAAAGCGGGAAAGTTATAACGCTAATCACTTAAAATTAATCGACACAATCTCCATATTACAATCACAACAATTGGTATCATTGGTATACAACTTCACGATAGTATATGATTATCACTTATTTTTTACCTTGAACATTGGTCCTTCGAGCCGGATTTGAACCATGTATCTGAACTTCCTACAGCCACAGTTCTATGGAAGCAATTAGTTTGTGTTTTCTTGTTCGGTGTATATTATCGGTAATATTTATCTTCACTTAATTTCATTGGTAACTAGCATCAGCACTGCGAGAACCGTGGGATTGTTTATATTGTTTTAATATATACATTTTAAAATTATTGATTACTTTTCAGAAATGTGTACAAGTTGTTATCAGCTGTCAAAACTATTTATATTGCATCTATAACTTTCGATTTGTATCCAAACAGCAACCTAGTGTCCTGTTTCCAAGAAGAACTATCTCGCGCGCTCGCCACTTTAACTAATCCCAGTATAATCGATGCGACTGAAGCGACAGCGCCCACGCTGCAGACGTTGGCCGCCGCTATGGTGTTGTTGCGACGTTGTCGTGTTAATGCTGCCCTCACTATACAACTCTTCTCGCATCTCTTCCATTACATCAACGCTGTATGCTTCAATAAGGTTAGTGCTTGATTGACTACGATTTTTTGACTATTTTACGGAATAAAAGTAACTGTGTATCATCTGGTAGTTTTACATTTTTTGCACAACTAAGCAGTAGAATAATAACTTGTTACCGACTAGTGGGAAATGAGTTATTTCAAAAATATATTTTTATACAAAATGTTAACTCAATCTTAACTTAACTTAACTATTACAACGTTTCATTTATCAGTTCTATTCGAAGCCAAAATTTGTAACCTGATTTTGTTCTGTTTATTTAAACAAATGTTGACTATTAAAAAAAAAAACAAAATAATGTAAAGTAAAGAAAGAAAGAAAATACATTTATTGGGCACATAGATACAATAATAATTTAAAATATACATTTATTAAAGTGGTGCTTAATCAGTAAAATGGTGTTATATCTGTAATGTACAGTTGGTTACTGAGCCAGGCACGATCAGTGCGCGATGGGGCGCGGCTCTATCGGCTCGGTTCGCGCTTCTGGCCGCGTGGGCGGAACGTCAGGGACTCGAGATAGCTGCCGACTGTCATCTGGCGCGTACGCACCAAGCTGGTATGAATTATGAAATTAAGAATATAGGAACTGTGTATCCTGAAACTATTACCTCCTGAATCCTGAATTATTAATTATTATTTAATTATATTAACAACTAGGGAGACTCTCTCTCATACACAAAACACACACACCCACATCCACACCCAGAGCACACCTAGACACAAACACAATCGTTTAAATTTTTTGATTTTAGTTACGGCGTTTTTAAAGGGGGAACTGAAAATAAAGAGCTTAGTTTACTAATAAGCTCAGTGTCAGCTTTCAGTCTCCCACTACTTGGATTGGCAACTCTAAAACTGATTTTTTAACTTAAATCTAAGTGTGGAAGAGAAATAAATTATTATTAACGAACGGAGAATATTTTTTCTATGAATACTCGATTAGTAATCTCTTAAAGTCTACCCCCACACTCATTGATACTTGATTTTTATTAATTATTAAATGTGCTAGTCACGAAGTCTTGTGGTTATTGTCCTCAGCACGTCTTATACAAGGCGAGTATCGTACAGCGGACGAGGCTCGTGCGGCACTATCCGCTTGCTTCAAACTGAATTCTGTGCAAGTGAGAGCGTTGCTCGCTCCACTCACTCCGCCCGAAGTACTCGAAGCTGCCGTCAATCACGCTCGTGCACTCTCCGATGAATTACATCGTTCAGACGGCCGCGAGGTATGAGAATTCTGTTTCACTCACACTTTATTAAGATATTAAATGCTTTTTTGCGTATTTAATTCGGTTACCAGTTAATCAGTAAAATACCTTTTTTTTTTAATCTACAAAATTCTTTAATTAAATTTTGTGAAACCGGAAATTACTTGGTATAGTGTTATCGGGAATCAAATCATCATAAGTAAAATATTAGTACATAAATTTGAATAGGGCGAAAAAGACCGGGACACCTATTAAAAACTGTACCCTATGCAACTTTTTGTTTATTACGCAGTCGATCAATGGTAGTTCTTATAGGAACTATAGTAAACTCCGTATTAAATACCTTATCCAATGAAGGATTATGTATTTCAAAAGTGATTCGCCGTATATACACACCTGAGACTGTCTAATTTTCCAAGAATTTTCTATATGATAATTATCAATATAGCATTCCATTTTGAATATGAAACTTATTAAGTAAAATAAATATGGAAATGGGCCTTTTAAAACAAGCCTTAAGGTACGTCCTGCTGGCTTGAGGAACCTTGACGCGTCTGGTACATGCTGAATAGAATAACGACGAGCGTCGCGAACTGTGCTTACTTATGGCATAAATGGAACTGGCGCGAATCGCTAATATGCCGGTGCGGCGCTCTCGAGCAAACTGTTAATGACGTCGCATTCGACTGCTCTCTTACCAAATACCGCGATAGATTGGAGGATCTCACAGACCTGCTTGAAGACACGGTGGCGTACCTGAAAACTGTGAATCTTTGAAATTTCGGAATTCTGCCCCGCGCAGCTTTGTCTCCTGCATACGGCCAGTATTTATGTGTACACTTGTCGTTGCATTCGGTCCCAGATACGTTTGGAGGAGAGCGTGTGGCTGGGCACCGGGCTGCTGATCCCCGGCGACGGGTTCAGCGCGGAGGTGGTGCGCGGCGTGCCGCCGGGACTGGCCGAGTTCGTGGCGCCGCTGCAGCGCGGCGGGCTGTGCCGCCTGGCGCACCAGCCGCACGCGCTCGGCGCCTGGACCGTGTACATGGGCAGCGCCGGCCCGCCGCGCGCGCCCGACCCGCGCCTCACCATCGTGCAGCTCAACAAGAACTCGAGCGGCATGGGGCTCAGCATCGTCGCCGCCAAGGTACGCACGCACTACTACTGATCACTGAACAGTTGCACTCGCCTGAGCGTCACCATGGTGCAGCTCCACGACATCCTAGCGGCATAGGGCTCAGCGTCGCCGCCAAGGTACACACTACTATTGATAACTGGCCATTAGTCACTCGAGTGTCACATCGTCCAGCTTAACGAGATCTCAGCATCGTCACCGCCAAGGAACACACACACTACTACTGATTACTGACCGGTTGCACTCGCCTGAGCATCACCATGGTGCAGCTCCACGACATCCCAGCGGCATAGGGCTCAGCGTCGCCAAGGTACACACAGCAACGTAAACGCACGCACGCACGCACACACACAAAACCAAACACTACTACCGATTACTGGCCAGTTGTAGTCGCCTGAACGTCACATCGTCCAGCTCGACAAGATCCCAGCAGTATAGAGCTCAGCATCGTCGCCGCCAAGATACACATTATTACGACTTACTGGACAGTAGTCACCTACACCTCGACGTCGTGCAGCTCAACGAGAACTCCAGCGGCATGTGGTTATGCTAGTGGTTTCTATTTCTATTAATTCCTGATTAGCGGCAAACCCACTAATTAATCATTCGTTAATTTCAAAAGATTAATTACTGCCAGGATAGGCTGATGTATTGAGCTAATCATTGTTATCGTCAAATCATCAAGTAATGATACACTTAACGTCAAATTACAATTAGTGACGCAGCCACTTGACTCAGCTCCTTTTTATAAAAACGGTCTACACTTTTTATCCATTAATATTGAAAGATCGAAGCATGAAGCATAGTTTATGAGGCGTAGACGTTTTTTTTAGTTTATAACGTATCTAATTTTTTTTTTACTATTGGTACATAGGGATACGGCCAGAACAAGCTTGGCATCTATATCAAGTCCGTAGTGGCGGGCGGAGCGGCAGCCGCAGACGGGCGACTAGCAGCCGGCGATCAACTGTTATCGGTAGATGGACAATCGCTAGTCGGAATAACACAAGAGAAGGTATTGAATTGATCACATTAGTTCAAAATTAATTCTATGTCACTTTGGAAAATGTTTTATAAAGAAAATTAAATGTTTGTTTTTTATGCGAACTGAAATCATTTAGATTAAAATATTATAATAATTCATGAAACAATTTAGGAAAAGACAATAATTACAATGACATTATAATATAAATTTGAAAATATTTAGTCCACAAATCTTTTTCTTTTCATATGTTCTGAATAGATTTTTACACTTATTTCACTGCAATAAAATGGTAATATGAATGTTATTTATTAATTAATTATGATATCATATTTAGGCAGCAGAATACCTGATGCGTACTGGTCCTGTAGTGACGCTGGAGGTGGCTAAGCAAGGGGCCGTCTTACACGGTCTCGCTACGCTGCTCCATCAGCCCGCATACTCGCAGAAACCAGGTATATGCTATTTTATTTCTTTTATTACAGATCTCCATGATTGTTTTGTAGTATTTTAATAGAAAATAATAAAAAAAAAAAAATGTTTGATATATATTGTTAAAATTATTAATTTGTTGAAGTCGCTCTTTAGGGTGAAAAATTTCGATGTTATAGTTTTGATTTTCAGCAGAAAGATTGAAATTCGGCGTTTCCTGGGTAGGTACAAAATTGATAAAAATCTATAATTATTATATTTATTTAGCAGCTGCGCCTGCATATATCCATAAGCAAATTTTAACAGAATTGAATCGAATATCATTGCTATCTATTGAGCAGTAGGGACACATGCTGTCATCTATTTATAACGTAAGAAAAAATATGAAGCGATTGATAATAATTATGTATGAATGTAAATGAAATTTTTATTAATTTTTCCCCGTAAATTCTTGTAGATACAACTTTCGTGCTTTTTGTCATCGTGCGTAAGACTTACAAGACTCTCCCTCCCGTTCTTTAAAAAAAAAATAAGACATTATCAATAGGCATAGTCCTCTCAATGATCTTACTTAATAAATGGATGACGCCCAAAGTCCCGTATACATATATGAATAGGACATGAGTAATATAGTCAAGCGCGTGTGGTATAGAGGAGATCCAGTACGAAGATCCGCTACGTCGCAACAGCGGCACGTTCACCAACACTCATCCCGCCCTTCTACGGCCTGCTTCACCGCGCACCGAACTCGCCACCGCAGGCAACTATCATTATTACTCCACAGCTTCGTTCGACGCACAATACCCGAACCCCTGTCTAAACCCTTAATGGGCTTCGACTTTTATTTTGCACTCCCAACGTCTTCACCCTTTTATCGTCCGTTTTGTTTGCCAAAGTGGTCAGTATTTTTGTTTTCAGTGTATTTTACTTTTTTCTCCATCGACAAGCGAGATCGCTCATGTTGGTATCGTTTCGCAGGCTACGGTCGACGGCCGTGTCACGATCGATGTCATCTCCTAAGAGACGAATCTACCGAATCTAGTACGGACGAGAGTGAGGGCTTCCATCCTCTCTACCATGGTTCGATTCCGCGACTCATTATCACTTTGGACAAAGAGAACGATCAATTGCAAGAAGATTTGTCACCCGAAACTCCAGGTTGCCCTTTAGAGTTGAAAGATGAGCCGCCGCCCCGACCGATACCGGTTTTCACTTTCACCTGTGAGGACTTCGATGAACTGAACCCTGGCAGCGATACGACCACGTACGATAGTCACGTACCCGACGAGGAACCGCCCCGTGTGCCCGAACCGCCCGTCAATTATGATCAGTCTAGTGAATCCGGCGAGACTGTGTATCTCCCGCCTGAAATGAAACCGATAAACACCAAACTTACGCTAGATTTATTCAATTCCCGACCTAAAGAGCACGAGTCGTATCGTCGCCGTTGTACAGGCGTCGACGAGTGCGTTAGCGCTTGCGATTGTTGCCGTATACCGCAACCGGAGGCACAATCGATACCGTTCATCGACGAACCCAGTTTTGAGCCAGTCATATTTGAGAACGACGTCGCTAACGATAATCATGTAGCGACTCCGAAAATTCGAAGAATATTGCCGTCTTTATCTCTCGATTTACCCGAGGAAAAGAAGGAAACCGCCGACGCCACTTGTCAGACGCCTTGCTCTCCAATGGAAGTGGACTCTATAGAGGTGCCGATTCCGGCTCCGAGAAAATTAGAGTTAATGTTAGATGTCAAGAGAGAATCTAAGAAGGCAAATGATATGCATTGCAGACTGAGACGAGCATTATTTAACATGTCGAAGTCTTCTTCTTCCAAGTCCGAGGAAACCGAAGGTCTGTCCACCTATTCCACGTCCGATTCGTTCGATGAAACCATCGGTGAGGGATTCGGTTATAGGAAAAATGTAGCGCAAACTCCTCCAAAAAAAGGCGCTACGCAAATATTAGATAGTGTAGATAAAAAATCGTGGAAATCACCCGACGAATATAGACCGTCCTTCGGTAAGGTTAGAGCATTAACGAAGCATTTTAATAATATTAATTTAACTTATTGTGTAAAAAATTATAAACGAAATTGCCAATCTAGTCCTAATTTAAGCGGGCGCAATGAAAAAGCGTTAAAAATAGTAGATAACATTCAGAGTAGCGCTAGTTTAGCTAACATACAGTATGAGTTGAATAAAACCGATAATAGCGAAACGAAAGGCGATAAAATGTCAGATGAAGAAGTAAAAAGTATTCTGATTCAGCTGGAGGACTGGTCAAAATACGGGTCCCGCGGCAGCGAAGATACGTTAGCTCAGGGCAACGAATTCGAATTGCCCAACTTACCATCGGAAGACCACGACGGGAACGGGGGCTACGTCTTTAACGAGATCATAGATAAAAAACCTCGAAGGATTACGCTGGATAATATAAAGCTGAAGTCGAATCAGTCCAGTTTTTCGGTTAAAGCCAGTAAAGATTCACTGGTGAAGAGTGAGAATTTGGAGGCGGAGACGGTGGTGCCACATGTCGTTGCGATGATACCGACGTCTGGGGCGGAATCGCGGCGTGATTCTTACGCGGCCATAGTGCAGAGCTGTCCTGACGTAAGCGGGAGTGCTCGCGGCCGCAACGCCTGCGAGGGCGCCGCCCTAAACCACAGCTGTCCAGTCCTGACTAACTGCTCGCGTAAGAACCTCACACGCATGAAATAGGTGTGTTAAGTCTACGCACTCATCTCGATGTTAGTTTTTATATTGCAGGCATGCCGTTAATTATTTTGGTTGCAAATGCATATATTTTGTTGTAGCAACTTCAACGTACACTGAAATACATTGCAAAATAAGTTTTATTTTCGCAATGCTGTCTTATTTTTTTTTTTAATAATCGTATGCAAATTTGTTATTTTTTCGTTTACAGACTTTGGTTCGCTGTGATAAATTCGAGCCCATGGAGGCAAACGAAATGATTTTTTTATACCTCTCAAATTAAATGATTCAACACATGCTGGTGTAGAGAGGTCCATATATTTTCATACTAATATTTATTTAATTTGTTTCTGCCGCCTTCCTCATCGCCGTCGATAAGGATTAATGTGCGTTTATCGTTAAAAGTAGCTTATTACTTAATTACACTAAGGGTGTGATCAAATATAATGTATTTCGGGTTTTCTTATTGGCAAAACGATACAATGTCAATACGTAAGCTATTTTTTTAGCTCACCGTCCATATTTCTAGCCAAAGCTTTACCAAAATAGCCAGCATGTTCCTGTGAACATGCATGGTTAAAGCGTTTGCAGTAAGTGACTCGATGTTTGAATTTTAGCGCGCACTTGATATTTAGAGGAATGATTTAAATATAATCCATTATTTTTTTATTATATAACAATGATTCGTTTACTTTATAGATATTATTATGTAAAAGTATTAAAGTTGTCAATTTTATTATTTCAATGTACAGCTGCACGTTAGGTTACCACAATGTCATATTTCTCCAGTTCATTTTCAACTCTACCCTAATAAATTATGGTTTAAAATCGAGAAATTGGCCAGATTTGAATAACCTGCCGTGCTGTTGACTATACGATCGCTTTTCTATTATACTTAAATAATTTTATACTGTTATTTCTTTTGTGCTTTATTACGACATAGTTTATATTATTGTCATTAGACAAAAGTGACATGCTTACTTTAGTAATATTTAATTTATAGTCTTATTCTTATTACATAAATAGGCTTTCGGTATGATGTTTTGTTATTTTGTAAATAGAAAAACTTTAGAGTTTAAGAAACGTCACAATTTAAGTTGTATAGGTGTACTAGAATCGGGCATTTGGGGAAAAGGATAAAGACGTCTTGATACTTATGATATTTTTAAAACACTGCAATAACTGCCTCATAATATTGAATTTTACTCCTGATCGAATTCCAATCATGGGAAATTGAAACTTTTTTTATATAAAAAGTTTAAATTTGCCGTGATTGGAATTCGGAATTGCGTATGTACATTGTGATATGTACATACGCAAAACCTTAACTCTATGCACAAAACAGATGCATGGAGTAGAAGATTAAAAGATGTCAATAAAACAAGAACAACGCCATCTAACGATCGATTACACACAGACAAAAATCACGACTTTTAATTTTAAGATAATACGATAATCGTGCAATTATAAGACTCAAAATCAGAATCTTTATGTTGATTACAATGTAAATTTTAGTTTTTGTACAATTTCGTGACTTACTTTTCACTACCGACTACCCTATTCATAAACACATTTTGAAATTACACAGTTTCATTTGTCTTCAGCGTCTTTCACAAATTGTGCTATAAATCTTAAAAACAATATTTCTCGCCTGAGATATCGATGGCTTTTTGGCTATTCTCATAGAATAAATTAATAACTTCAAAAATATTCACAATAATTTACACATTGAATTTACAGTTGTTGTTACGTTGATAATATATATATTGCCACATGTAAATCGATATTTTTTATTTTGTGCTTATAAATTCTGGTACACCTATAATTGTCTCTATAATAAGGCCGATCACAAATTGATTGGATTTGAAACGATCAGTATACAAACGGTCTTGTCTATCCGTGGTGCACGCATCTTTCGTCAAAAATACTGATCGGTGCATTTTTGACGAAAGATGCGTCTCGTAATTGTCTGTAGTGGAAGGTTATAACTGTCAAATATATAATTTGACATTTTGCACACTCTACGAAAGGTCTATCCTTACTACTTTCGTCAGACGCTTGACGGATCTTAAGGTAGATTTGCACTGACATTTTATTACAAAATCATGTTGTTGACATAAACAAACGGAGACCTAATGTTTTAAGACTTTTTATCAATCTTCCTGCAACAACCGAGCGCTACAGAGCATGTAGTTCTGTTTCCTTGATATTCATAACTGTTTTCATAGATGTTCGTCGGTTTTGCTTTTCATCACTAATCGGTTCTTGTTAATGTCCAAAATTCAATATCAAAAAATTAATACATTTAAAGATGTCCCGACGTCATAGTAATAATTGGGTACATGATGACAGGGTCGGCGGGTGTAGTTGGGACAGTGGGCCCGGGTGGACGGCGTTTGTCAGAACGCGACCTATCACGATTGCCCGCTGAGCCGGTCAAACCGAGCAAGAGTACTCCCGCGCTACATCACGCTCATCCAGCATCACACCATCCTCAGAGGTGAGTAGTTTATAGCGGTTTGCCTCGGTTTATCTCATAATTCAGGGGAAATACCTGAGTCACGTCACGTTTCCAAACAAGTTGCTTAGTAGTTACATAGAAGAGTTTTAGTTCAAATATGTTATCTATAATTGCGCATGATAATGCTTGTTTGGCTATATTACACCCAATGGCAGAAACGGGGTATTCTACTCCGTTTGAAATAATAATTGTAAGTATTTATTTTAGTAAAAAAAAGACAAAACAAATATTTCAGAAAAATAAACACGTTTTCTTACCTTAAAATAAAATCGAAATTAAACTTTTTTTATACCCGCGAAAACTTCATTGTGGTATATACACAAAATAGCGTATAGAGCAAAAGATTAAAAGATGTTAATAAAAAAAGAACAGTGCCATCTAACGATCGATGAGGAAATAAAAAGATATAAATTAACTATGAACAGTGCCATGTAGGAATTTAATTTCTAACTAATCGGCATATCTTTATGACTAATCTGACAGCTATCGCTAGTGACGTCACTCAATGGCGGGTCGTATTTCAAGTCACGTGACACACAGCCAAAAAATCACGACGTTTAATTTTAAGATAATAGTGACTTTTGCTTGAAATTACCCTATTACTCGAAAGCCATCCCTTTGAGCTAGTGACGTATTTGTAGTACATTGTGTATATATTTTGTGGTACAGCGCTAATCTGAATGCATCACAAATGGGTCCCGGATCGCCGAGTGCGTGGGCTAACAAGTCTCGCAGCAGTCACAATCTATCAGCGCCCCACGACACGTTCTACCAGAATCTGTCTGCCGTCCACCAGCATACACTACAAGACAGGTACGTCCAATACGATCTTTAGATCCAACTAAGTAAAAACTCCACATGCAATTTGGGATAAATGTAAATTGCTCTGTACCCTAAGCATGAAAAATTTTCAATTCTAATTTAATTCGTATTGAGTAAAATAGATATTTTTGTATAGAATATTTTAGTTGCATTTTTGGATGTAGTTAACGCTCTGCATTATCAGTACAAAGAATTTAAATATGTGCTTGATACCATGAATAATTTTAATTTGTGTCGCCTAAACTGATATAAATAAAATAAAAATAAATAAATAATTAATGGGCCTGTCTGAGGGATTAACCGCCACGTGTAGTAGCCTCGTGCTGAAGTGCCATGCGTAGCGTAAGGCACTTCGGTTCCGACAGGGACTTACCCCTGACTTCCCCGGCACTTCCCGGCACCTCGTGACCGTGTTGGTCACGATGCATCAGGCAACGCCGAGGAAGCTCAGAACCAGCACACACTGCTCGAAGTTGAGAGACCACCCTAAGCGCTGCTATTGTGGTAACGCAGTTGTTGTGTTGGTCTAGGCAGCAAAGTTTTTGAGTACCGATGGCGGTTCAAAGAGACACTTCAGTTGCATTAGGTAGGTTGTTGTATGTCAGTCTCAAGAACCTGTGAACCAGATGTTGTTCGGCGATACTCAAATGAAAATACTTTTGGCTCGGATATATTTTCGTAAACCATTCGTTTTGTATGAGAATGTTCGGAATACGAAAATTATTGATCAGTCGAAAAGGTTTTATTTTGACAAATCAGTGTCGTTTTAAATGAAATTGTCGGGCTTTAACATTAGAAGAGGAAATGATACAAAACAGGGTGGTTTTTGTAATCTCTAGTATATTAATTTGAGCATTGCAAACGATATTTGAAGATGGCTTAAAATCCCACGCATAAAAATATAATTTTTATACCATCACATACCCACATAGTTTAGATACCAAATGATATAGTTAAACACTTGTATTATGGAAATCTGAAACACGAAGGTAAAAACACCCAGACCAGAGACAATATAGAAAAGCTCATTATCTGCATTAACATGACTGAGAGTGGAATGCGGGAGCTCAGAAATGGTGACACCTTGGAACTGGTGAGCCACTCGCCCAAGATCCGACATATCCTGATTGTTCCATAAACTTACAGATCGCATTAGATAGCCCCCTCCAATGTGTCATGTCATGCATTGTATTTATTTCTAAAGTTTAATGAACTGGTTTCATTACCATTTAAATATTGGTGTGTACTTCTGGTAATCTACCTTGAATCAACTTGCAGTTGCAACCATTTTATGCACCCCCTTGTTTTTTGGGTGCAATATACTATTATCAAAGAAGAACTTGTTCGTTCTTCCTATCAGCCAAAAGACGACCTGAACGAGTGGTGGGGAAAAATGTTGGACGATTCAAAAGAGAAGTCTATTTGAATAAATATTATTTTGACTTTGACTTTGAACTCTGAATTTGGCAAAAATTTCTGTAAAGACACCTCAGAAAACTTCTCCACGGCTCTGAACACATCAGTGCGTCTGCCACTTAATATTTGGAAAATATAATCCTTGTTGAATGTTGATTAGATTTTATCAAAAAGCATTAAGGTCTTTAGCAATAGATCAATCTGCAATTTATTGTAAACTAGTTCTAAACTAATTGATTCATACTTTAATTCTGTTAAGGTATTTGTTAATGCTGTAGATTGTACCATTTCTATAAAATTTAACTATAATGACTTCTATTATTGCAAATAAAGATCTTATCTTAAATCATCAATTGTTGTAGCAGAAACAAATCGCCTCAACTTATAATTTAATTTGAGCGTGTTTCATCTAATTTGGTTTCACCATATACTGGGTCTTTAACGTTATTAAGGAAAAAAAAATCCTATTTGAACTTGTGTTGATTGTTTTACTATAGTAGGTACATAAAAAAAAAAATTATCACCAGTCGTAACCGCTGCAAGTAGGAACTGTTCAGGACCGTGGGGTCGTAGGAAACGTGATGGTGGCTGTGGTTGCCATAATTGCGGTCCTGGTATGGATACTATGTGCTATTTTGTTATGGAAAAATGCACAGGTGGATTTAGTTTTCCAGTTTTTATCATGCATTATCAAAAAATGTCACTGGTTGGGGTAACAAATCGAATGCAAATCACTTACAGTTTTTCTCGCCTCTGTACCTTACTTGCTCTCTCCGAGCTGGAATCCGACGACGCTGTTCGATGAGCTCGAAGACAATAGAACAGGCCTGCTTCAATGCTGTTTTCTTTGTTTATTTCACTGTCCCGTTGCTCCATCGCGAAGGGAGGTTAATTTTATATTAATTTCATTTTAATTTTAACACTAAACTATATAATAATAAGTATAATTTGTGCACATTTTATGTAGGACCGATGTTTTCGCCACGAAAAACGACGCTATAATGACGGTAAGCGTTCGTGCCTAAAAGTCATTGGTTCGCTACCCGCAAACTAGATGGCAGCACAAGCGCCGGAAGTAAGAGGGGAGGTAATGTTTTTGACCGGAAACGTCACAAAAAGGATGATGCTTGACTCAAGATGGATTCCGGATATCGAACGGAACAAATAATTTTAATTTGCGTCGCCTGAAATGATCCATTGTTGGCACATATCTCAATATATAATCAAATTAGCTGTATCAGCAAATAATGAGTGCAGTTTCGACATTGATCCGACTCACTTTGAAAGCAAAGGCGGAAACACATTTTTGTGTATTGTGTCGTGACAAATCTTTTCATTGTAATGTTTGGAACGACACGCGACAACAACAAAAAGACACAACAAGACACATATGTGTTTTCAATTTAATAGCTGTCGATGCCGTCGTTTGTCGCTGTCGTCGTCATGTAAGGTCATTGTGATTTTACAATGAAAAACATCGCATATGCGGTTTGTTCTTTAATTTTGAAATACTTACACGTGTGGAAGTTCTACTATACAAATACGGATGTAGACAATAAACGAAAATAAATACATTTTTTTTTCTGGTAGCGTTTAACATCGTATTACCGATAATCACTCTTTTACGATTATTATATTTATAATATTGCTTAAATTAATTATGAAGATACAAATATTTTATGTTCGTTGTCACGTGACTGTAAACAGAGCGTGACGTCACGACCCTCTTCTCATATCAGAGCTTAGAGAATTCAATCTTATGCATACATAGAACAATCGTTACACAGTACGTGACGTCATAGCGACACCTTGACAGAAGTGGCGTTTTCGTGGGAAATTTTGAATATTAAAATTTATTTTCAGATTTTAACTTATCATATGTTTCATGTATATCTATAAAATAAAAATATAAAGAATATGTCTACACCCCTATTCCATAGATGGTCATCGTTGCGTAGCTCGACTGGCAGTAATCGTCCACAGTCTGCACACTTCGCCGCCGCAGCCGCCGATCAACAATCGAATGATGCACATATACATCAACAGGTATATGATTACGACTTTTACGGCGAGTTGCTCAAACATCCATTAGGTTTAAAGACGCCTTTAAACTGTAATTGATCTCAATTTTGTGTGGGTAATATCGCATTCAACTAATGACAATTTTATTAGATTGTATAAGACGTTAATACCTGTCTTATACAATCTAATATAATGCAAAGGAAAGTTTAAAAGTTCAATGATAATTGTAATACCATATTGCTCATGCAAATATTCAAGCTTAGAACATTTATTTATAGTCGTCGTTAAACCTTAATTAACTTTTGTGCAACCGTATGTCATTAAAAACGGTAGTAGTCATTTGTTTATTTCATTTAAATAAAAACGGATTGATTACAATTCTCTTTCCTATTTCTTATTACAATGTCAACTGTTGGAGATTTCTTTTTTCAATCATCAATGTGAGATAGCACTTGATACATGATTACGGACGCCATCAATAACAAAAAAGCATAATAAAAAGAAATCATTCAATATATCGACATCTAGTAGATAGTTGTAATTTTTTTTATGACACAGATGTCGGCTCGTTCGGCGAAATTAGCGGAGATGTCAGAAGAAGTGAACAGGCGCATCCAGCAGCAGCAGCAACAACAGCAGCAGCAGCAGTTCCAGCAGAAGCAGCAACCGATCCAGCCGCAGATGCAACCTGCTATGCAGCCCGGGCACAATCACCGACAGGTGTTGTATCGGTTCTATGGAATAGGGGATCGGATAACATGCTAAAAAGTGTTTGAAATTAATCATTCCTTAGTCCGGGCGCTTATTCGCGACAAAAAAGATTACTTTATGGAAATAAACCTCATTATGTATCCAAAACTACGTTTAAAATTTAACTGTTTAAAAAACCGCGTAAACGGCGACTCGGGGGAAGTAGCGTCATTTGTGGGGTAAAAGGGATAAAACAGAAAAACTGACCCTTGTAATCCGTTAAAAATGCAATAAATCGTTAAGATTATTTGGCACTGGATATTTACCGCGATTTTCCTAGATAGTTTTACTACCAATTTACCCAAAAATGAGGTCACGCGCTTTTATTGGTGTGTCATTCAACGTGAGACACCGACTTAAAATATTATTTTTTATGATACTATAAATATAAATAATTGTTATTTAGCAAATATATTCGGCGGATAATCTTTAAAGTTTATGAACTTTTTAACCACATGCAATTTAATCGATGTCCGATCCCCTATTTGTCGTTTTGTACGAGAATGTTTTTCTAATTATTATTACTTGATTATTATTACTGAAAGCTAGTTGTTTCATGATTGTTGCTCGTTCGTATCCGCCAAAACTTGTGGTAGATTAAATTAATTATTTTGTAAGTTTGTTTAAATAAAGATTATTTTTACTTTAATCGTTAATGTATATATCTTCTCACGCTTTCTACGTTACTATATATATTGATTGTCTGTCCGATTAGATCGCGAGTCCGCCAATGGTGACGAGTGGGTACGCGGGCCCTCCGCAACCGCCTCTATCGCCGCCGCCCACGCATAGTCCTTTATATCATAACAATCCGCAGCCACACCAGCAACAGAGGTGAGTTTACATTAAGGTTGTTGACCCACTGTAGCTCACCATGCCTGTAACAGTATCAGGCAACTTCACATCATCTCTATTGATAGTAAGAGAAGATACCCTATAAACCAGGACTCTTTTTCTTTTTTTTAAACTCAATTTCATATTTAGAATGAGTAGGCAGGCCTGGTTCACAATAAAGAAATTAACACAAATTAAAGCTCGTTTAGGCAGACGCTGCTTTTAAAATTACTTACAAATAAAACGCGCGCCATTAGAAAAACATGATTCTTTCTGTGATCGCAGGCTGTAACTTTGACATGGTTTCATTAGACCTTTCCGCTCAATAAACACTACGTATGTACGTCATGTCACAAGAAATATACACGAAAGAAAAGCAATATCAAGTGCAGAAAAAGTGTGTCCATTTTAACTGGTTACTCCTGGCGTCGTTCAGCCTCAATGCTGAGGTCGTGACCTCGTTAAATTACTCTCGTGGACTATTGTTCGCCATCTTGCCTTATTTTATGGCGATATGGATGGCCTCTTCAATGTTTACGTATACGTGAATATATTATTATTTTAATTGTTTTATTCAGGTATGATTGGCACCAGCCTGGACCACCGTCGCCGCACAGATCACAACCTCCTGTAGCTCCAAAACCACAGGTGATTTTAATAACAATAATTTTAGAACCTTCATTTTGATGATGACCTCCGTAGCCGTGCTTCGCACGCCGGTTTCAAGGTATCGCCATCTCTGAGGTCCAGGGTTCGTTTCCGTAGCAGTTCAACGTAAAAATTAGACTTTAACATTATCTCACGTCTGGGTGTTGTGGTACCTTCGTTATTCATATTACGGGTAACCTAGCAACTCATATTGGAATCTGAGCAATGTCGTTGTCTAATATTTATTTTTGTAATTTATTTATTTAGGTATTCTTTTTTTATTATTTTGAATTGTAACTTCTAAGTTGTAATAGTTATCATTAATCTGATATTCACCTGTGGTTAAAAACATACGTTTATCTTATTCAAGGTGATATATTATTAAAAAATTCAAAGGATTTCAATTTATGTATTATAGAATGGAAGGCGGTCCGAGAACGAGATGGAAGAACAATTCCAACAGTCGCAACAAGTGCCCTCTGGAGTCACAGTACAGCCAGACGACGGTTTGAATTTATATATTTTTAATCATATCAAATACCAACAAAATTTCTATATTACTAATTAAAAGTATGCAGATTGCTATATTTCATTGTCGAAAATAATTGAGACAACTATATCGATATATTTTTCAGGAAGGGTATGGCCTCCAGTTAAAGATTTATTTTATCTAAACTCTATACTGGGACAACGCTATGCTCCACGTTGAGTTCCATTTTGAGTGAATTCTAGAAGCGATGATCATCTTATCGTAGTTGAATTAGCGTTCAATGTACAAAATGAAATAAGAACACGATTTACTAAAAAAGAATTACTTGCAGAGCAAAAAATTAAATATTTTTTTCTATTTCTAAGGGTTTTGATAGAGAGTTTTAACTACCAATAAAACTTACCTATTATTTTTCCTAAAGATATCCGGAATCCATCTTGAGTCAAGCATCATCCTTTTTGTGACGTTTCCGGTCCAAAATACTACCTCCCCTCTTACTTCCGGCGCCTGTGCTGCCATCTAGTTTGCGGGTAGCGAACCAATGACTTTTAGGCACGAACGCTTACCGTCATTATACCTACTCTAGATGCACCAGGTAGAACTTACCTGGATTCCGGATATCTTTAGGAAAAATAATAGGTAAGTTTTATTGGTAGTTAAAACTCTCTATTATTTGTTCCGTTCGATATCCGGAATCCATCTTGAGTGATGTGTTTGTTATCTCCTGGTGAGTGCCATTGGTGACGCTATAATGTGTTGCAGGTATAAAAAGTCAAATGTAGTCTGATGAGAAAAAATAATGCATATTATAAGTATATTATGCTATTACATACATAGTACATATATTATGCTGTTACATAACAATGCAATTATAATAATTATTCAAGTATTTCGGTAATCTAAGCTAAATAAATATTGGCTTATCTGTTATCGGTCAATATCATTAATGAATTGAATGGAATAATAAAAATGTAAATACATAGATATCGGAATTTTCTTGATTGTCCAATTTATCAGTTTTCGATAGGACTTCCTAAAAGTATATTCTTGGCGCCAGTTTTACAGTTTCAGTAATTTATCCATCGGAAACAATTCCAGTCAATTTAGAGATGGAACTGCAGATGTAATAGACCCTGAAGAATCTTCTACATTATGTGCTTCTATTTAGCATTTTTGAGAACAGAGTAGTTAACTCGTGAAAATTACTTCTTTTTGGGGCTCTTTCAATACAAAAATTGATCGCGTGTCCAATACATGCAATCGAATGATTTGTGTCAGTTAATCATTTCTATCCAGGCTGTCATAATTACTATTATCTGTTTTTAATACAAAATGGGGTCATAAGACAAAAAATCATTTTCGTTACTTCAAAGGTTAAAAGGGTTAAATAATGGATTCTGCGACCTTGAAGATTGTGAAATTGTGCTAAATTTCCAGCAACTTAAATTGAGTCAATTCTGCCAATTTCTACGTAAAATTTCCATTGTACTATATACCTGAAGTCTAATATTTTTTGTGCAATGTCTTCAATACAATTCAATATTGACAGATATATTTATTATTTTATGATCTAGTAACAAGAATGTGTCATAAAGGGTTGTAGTCGAAGCGCTATTGACCCTCCACCATTACGCCGACATTAGCAGAATTTCCCTACCGGGCACTTGTTATTTGCAGAATTAATACTAGTAGATATTTATAGTCGCTTTACATTAACTCGATAGTTTCAAGATTTTCTTTATTTTATTTTATTCTGCCCGACTTTTAAATAAATTTTCTGAATTTCGGGGGATGAACACCTGTTGCCATACCTATTGCAGTATTTGCGGAAACAAATCGTCAGCCAAGACACTTCGTCCCATTTTGGAACAATCATAATGTACTTACTTGCCTTGACGCTTACTGGAGTCGAGAAAGTATTTGCGGAATCATGTTTGAATAAGGCCAGCTTGCATTTTCACTGATGACGTCATGCGTTATGACCTATTAGTTTGCTCGTTCGTCACATCCATTGTCATGTACCTGGGAATGACGTGTGCTTTTGTCGATGGAATAAGTTCACATCTGGTGAACGTTGGGCTGCTAGATTTAGTATTCAGGCTATGCATAATATCTGAATCTGCCTTGTTCGTGTCATAATTACAATAATATCCTAGATTTGGTCCCCCATCTTTGTTTATGTACGGGAATCAGTACAGTTCTCTTAGCATTTACATCTAGGCATTCCGCGAAATGAAGACTCGCGTGAGTAATTGCCTCGAGTTGAGCACTCGAACAGATTTCCTATGCACCTGTCCTCGGATGTTGAGCGATTTGCGTTGCATTTATTGGAAGGTATCATGATACAACAGTTACTTACCATTTAAAGTCATTCAGTACTGGGTCTGGTAATCCGAATAGGTAGTAATAGTTTTAAGCTGTCGATGTTAGTATTGCAGTGTGCGACAGTGTAACCACCCTCTTCGAATCACAAACGAGGCAAAGTCGAGTCTCCCCATTAGGAACTGGGCCTGTCTGAGGGACTAACCGCCTTGTACAATCTAATGCTGAAGTGCCATGCGTAGCGGGAAGCGTTCGGTTCAAACATGGACTTCACTAAATGTTCAGTACTGAGTCTGGTAGTTTGATTCGGTGGTAATGGTGATCTTTGGGCAACTGTCGATAGTAGTATTGCAGTGTGCGATAGTTTAGTCACCCTCTTCGAATCACAAACGAGGCAAAGTCGAGTCTCCTCATTAGGAACTGGGCCTGTCTGAGGAACTAACTGCCTTGTACAATCTGATGCTGAAATACCATGCGTAGCGTGAAGCGTTCGGTTCAAACAGTGACTTCGCTGAATGTTCTGTACTGAGTCTGGTAGTTTGATTCGGTGGTAATGGTGATCTTTGGGCAACTGTCGATGGTAGTATTGCAGTGTGCGACAGTGTAATCACCCTCTTCGAATCACAAACGAGGCAAAGTCGAGTCTCCCCATTAGGAACTGGGCCTGTCTGAGGGACTAACCGCCACGTGTAGTCGCCTCGTGCTGAAGTGCCATGCGTAGCGTAAGGCACTTCGGTTCCGACAGGGACTTACCCCTGACTTCCCCGGCACTTCCCGGCACCTCGTGACCGTGTTGGTCACGATGCACCAGGCAACGCCGAGGAAGTTCAGAACCAGCACGCACTGCTCGAAGTTGAGAGACCACCCTAAGCGCTGCTATTGTGGTAGCGCAGTTGTTGTGTTGGTCTATGTAGCAAAGTTTTTGAGTACCGATGGCAGTCCAAAGAGACACGTCAGTTGCATTAGGTAGGTTGTTGTATGCCAGTCTCAAGAACCTGTGAACTAGATGTTGTTCGGCGATACTCAAATGAAAATACTTTTGGCTCGGATATATTTTCGTAAACCATTCGTTTTGTATGAGAATGTTCGGAATACGAAAATTATTGATCAGTCGAAAAGGTTTTATTTTGACAAATCAGTGTCGTTTTAAATGTAATTGTCGGGCTTTAACATTAGAAAAGGAAATGATACAAAACAGGGTGTTTTTTGTAATCTCTAGTATATTAATTTGAGCATTGCAAACGATATTTGAAGATGGCTTAAAATCCCACGCATAAAAATATAATTTTTATACCATCACATACCTATATAGTTTAGATACCAAATGATATAGTTAAACACTTGTATTATGGAAATCTGAAACAACGAAGGTAACAACACCCAGACCAGAGACAATATAGAAAAGCTCATTATCTGCATTAACATGACCGAGAGTGGAATGCGGGAGCTCAGAAATGGTGACACCTTAGAACTGGTCAGCCACTCGCCCAAGATCCGACATATGCAATCTGGAACATCCTGATTGTTCCATAAACTTACAGATCGCATTAGATAGCCCCCTCCAATGTGTCATGTCATGCATTGTATTTATTTCTAAAGTTTAATGAACTGGTCTCATTACCATTTAAATATTGGTGTGTACTTCTGGTAGTCTACCTTGAATCAACTTGCAGTTGCAACCATTTTATGCACCCCCTTGTTTTTTGGGTGCAATATACTATTATCAAAGAAGAACTTGTTCGTTCTTCCTATCAGCCAAAAGACGCTCCGAACGAGTGGTGGGGAAAAATGTTGGACGATTCAAAAGAGAAGTCTATTTGGATAAATATTATTTTGACTTTGACTTTGAACTCTGAATTTGGCAAAAATTTCTGTAAAGGCACCTTAAAAACTTCTCCACGGCTCTGAACACATCAGTGCGTCTGCCACTTAATATTTGGAAAATATAATCCTTGATGAATGTTGATTAGATTTTATCAAAAAGCTCTTTAGCATTAAGATCTTTAGCAATAGATCAATCTACAATTTGTTGTAAACTAGTTCTAAACTAATTGTTTCATACTTTAATTCTGTTAAGGTATTTGTTAATGCTGTAGATTGTACCATTTCTATAAAATATAACTATAATGATTTCTATTCTCGCAAATAAAGATCTTAAATCATCAATTGTTGTAGCAGAAACAAATCGCCTCAACTTATAATTTAATTTGAGCATGTTTCATCTAATTTGGTTTCACCATAGACTGGGTCTTTAACGTTATTAAGAAAAAATAAATCCTATTTGAACTTATGTTGATTGTTTTACTATAGTAGGTTCATAAAGAAAATTATCACCAGTCGTAACCGCTGCAAGTAGGAACTGTTCAGGACCGTGGGGTCGTAGGGAACGTGATGGTGGCTGTGTTTGCCATAATTGCGGTCCTGGTATGGATACTATGTGCTATTTTGTTATGGAAAAATGCACAGGTGGATTTAGTTTTCCAGTTTTTATCATGCATTATCAAAAATGTCACTGGTTGGGGTAACAAATCGAATGCAAATCACTTACAGTTTTTTTTTTTTTCGCCTCTGTACCTTACTTGCTCTCTCCGAGCTGGAATCCGACGACACTGTTCGACGAGCTCGAAGACAATAAACACGCCTGCTTCAATGCTGTTTTCTTTGTTTATTTCGCTGTCCCGTTGCTCCATCGCGAAGGGAGGTTAATTTATATATTCATTTGATTTTAATTTTAATTTTAACACTAAACTATATAATAATAAGTATAATTTGTGCACATTTTATGTAGGACCGATGTTTTCGCCACGAAAAACGACGCTATAATGACGGTAAGCGTTCGTGCCTAAAAGTCATTGGTTCGCTACCCGCAAACTAGATGGCAGCACAGGCGCCGGAAGTAAGAGGGGAGGTAGTATTTTGGACCGGAAACGTCACAAAAAGGATGATGCTTGACTCAAGATGGATTCCGGATATCGAACGGAACAAATAATGGAGTGTTTTAATTTTCAATTACGGTGTATTTAGATGTTATTTGTTTTTTGTACAAAACCGATTGAAAGTTAGTGATTATTGTTTTATACGTTCTCCACAATGATGTATAGTCTTCTTATTATATTCGTTTATACGTTCGATAGAACGGTACGTGGCCAGCGCGCTGGAGCCCCCCGCGGTGTCGGTGTACCCGGCGGGCGGCGCGGGGGCGGGGGCGGGGGCGCGCGCTCAGCCCCCACACAACCCCTGGCAGCGGGAGGAGCGCGAGCGGCAAGCTGAGGCGAGGCGGCAAGCTAACCGCGCGCGCAGGTAACAAATTATATACGAGGGCACGACAATGCGTTCGGCCTGCGATCGCGGGCGCTAAGCTACTTACGCAAAGGCCGGTAATCGGATGGGTGACCAAAAATTTATTGAATATAGTTACTATGTGCTTTTTATTTGAAAATTCTCTTAAAATATAATTAGATAGATTTCATATTATGCATGAAATGTTTAAATTAAAGATAGACATGTTTTTTAAATTATGTAATGTAATATGTTATTTGATTTGCTAATACCAGGCTGTGATATATTGTTAGATCATTGCAATTTTTTTTTTACTGACTAATAAGCTGACAGAAATACAATAAAAACATATTAAATACAAATACATACTAGTAAATACAATTCATATATACAATAATGTTTAAATAAAATTACGATATTTATTGATACTATTCGTAATAAACGAAATATAAATTCACAGGGACGCAACAATCGCCCAACTGGTAGCCCTGGGAGCGGCTCGTACACCCGTACAGAATCAACAGCTGCGTGCGTTACAGCTAGAGAGAGATTTCGAGCGACGAGCCACGCAACATGATCAGGTAATTATCGAACTGTTGAACTAGTTCGTTTTAGAAGGCAGCATCGGCAGCTACTTCTTTCTACTACCTACTCGAGGCAAAAAAAAAGAATAGAAAAAATTATAATATAATTTTTTTGCAAATACTAATGCAAGTTTTACAATACTGGTAGAGTAGAAAAAGGAAAATTAGATAAGTAACCTAAAATATTTGTAATTATGGGACACACAATTATTTCTTTTGATAAGGTGTTTAATCTCTTGTTAAAAACTAGAGCAAAAATAAGTCGCTGTCACTTTCAGCGTCTGCATATGCATTTATAAGCACCCACTAATCTGCACTGGGTCAGCGTAGTTCATAACATACATTTAAGGTTTATTTACAATGACAAAATTGGCTATATATACATGTGAGAGCGCAATAGCAATAACTTTGCGCGCGAGTGAAAGAGATATAAAATACCGTGTCATTGTATAGAAATTCTATTTAGCGACTGGACTATAGCATTCATCGATATTGTAATTCAGGAGGAGGGTGCTGCAACGGAAGGAGGGGTTGAAGAAGATGAGGATGAACCCGAAGAAGAACAGCGCGGTCCCCCTCAACCCCCCGCGCACATGCAGCTCCATCAACACCCACATCCGCCCAAGTCCATACTGAAGGTCAACACGAGACCAGAATTAGCCAACGGGTACGCGCCCGAGCCGGTACGTTAAAACATTATTGTTCATCTCACAGATTTGATATGTTTTACTGTTAAGTCATATTATGTCACAGATAATATGTTATTGTTTACTGTACTGTGTAACTTTGATCACTGAATAGTCACGAAAAGCTATTAAATATATGAATAAAATACAACTGAATCGTGTATTTAAGTTTTATAACTATACAGGGTTATTTGTAAAACTCCAGCAACTAACAGAACTACTGATAAGTTACAAGGTTTGATTTACAAGTTTAACTTTATCTCAGTACTTAAAAAAACGATTTTTCTAATTTTTATTATACTTTCCTGAAGCGCGCGTTATGTGAGGTACTTACTTATTAGTAGAAGGCGCTCAGATTTCTAAAGTTTAAATTGTAAATTAAGTTAAAACTTATTATTGTGTGAAAGCAACAAATTTATTAAAAGCCAGTGAACAAGAGTTGTTGTTTGTCTACTCCTACGAGTTGGTTGGTGTTTTATAACTAATCCTGTATTTGTACGGTACTCATATCGATTAAATTACTTTTTAACGATTTCATTGTGTGTATTTGTATGTAGACGTTTCGGATACTTTACAGGTTCCGTGTTCATTTAGGATATACCCAACACACGTGAATAATACGAGTGGTTTTATTCAAGACTTTATAGGTCATTGTGTAGTAGCTCGAGAGTAGCTCAGTGGCGCAGTTGATAAGCGCCGTGACCCACGATAGGTGTTGCGAAGCAACTTTCGCAAGGGTCGGTCACGAGATGGGTAACAAAAAAATATATTATCTCGAACTACTCCGTGCTTCGGAAGGCACGTTAAACCGTTAGTCCCGGTTTCATTTGTAGTCGTTAAACACTCCAATTGGGGTAAATTGGAGGGTTATGGCGCATCCTCCTTAACCATCTACAAGGAAAGCCCGAGTCCATGAAATTTGGACGTAAAAGGGCTAATGATGATGTTGTCATTGCAGCAGCAGCCTCAAGTTCCGAGTCAAATGGAAGCAAATCGCGTGTCCGAAGTAACGGGCAGCATGGGCGCGTTGACCGTGAGCTCGGCGGGTACTCACACGGCGAGTGGTCACAGTCAGGGCGCGGGGGCGGCCCCGCCGCCGCCGCCCGCGCGCGGCTCCTCCTTCGCTGTGATGGCGGGACGGACCAGGACCGTGCCGGAACCGCCGCCCCCCGCAACACACGCCCCGCTGTGAGTCGCTGCACATTAGTGCTTCCAGTGGCCTAATCGTGTTAATTTTGAAATTTATCACGATCACATCGAATTTGGCATTTGAAAGATATTCACGAACTTTACGCTACAACTATTTGACATGCCATAGAAATTGCGATCTTGGCTGTTTTTTACATTTATTTATTTATTTATATACAGAGGGAATATGCACATTTTTGGAAAATGGTTTTATATGATAATTTACATTGATATATAACTGTAAAAAAATACCCGGCACCGAAAAACTAAAATTTTGTAACATTAATCATTGGTGAAAATAAATAATAGCTACGAGCAGTTTAAACACCGGAATTTTTGGCGCTCTTGTCGTGACGTCAAAGTACACGACTAGAGATATGACATTTTAAATCAATATAAGTTTTGAGTGATTGAATTATTCAATTACCTAAAGCGATTAACAACTAATCGATTTTTAAAGTATAATAGACTTTTTTAATACATCATATAATTTACTTAATTGGTGAAATAAAAATAAAAGCCTAAAACATCATTTAAATTGTAATCAGTTGTTTATTTTGCGACATAATACATTGATGTTATTGCATCAATGTTAACTTTTTGTAACAACGACATCCCTTTACGTGTACATTTTCGTCACATCCGTTCTGACAAGTAGTATGGCGTTTAAATATTTTGAAGTTACCGCATTTATTTCGCACTTTTTAATAATTATTTTCAAGACGAAAACGAACTAATATTGAAAAACAGAAGACACAACAGAAACAGATAGACTTTATTCTAAAGCAATAACGATTGTAATAAAATATATTTAACCTTTTCTTGAATAAGACGCATATTCCCTATTGACAATATAGTTTAGGTCTGGACTACAATCTAGATCTAGAACTATGCGTACACAACATGGTGATAATAATTGTTATGTTATATTTTCGTATTATTACGTTATAGCAGCGACACATTCGAACAAGTGGATTGTAATAGGAGGAATAATTTGTGCATACCCTCAAGGAAAACACCGAGTTACTTATATCGCGAGATCTAAATTGATATTAAATGGACGATAATGTTTACTTGACGTTTATTGAAATTGTCTAAGCAAAGTGATAGTTACAAATATCTTCGAGAGCTATTTGGAAATGTCAATTGAAACGAAATTTCTTTGACATTTATATCATTCATTCCTAAAGCTATTGTGACTTTAAAAGTTTCATAAATCACTATCACAATCTCTATATATTTGAAAGGGTTGTGATAAATTTTAAAATTAAACGATTAAGTTACAGATTCTCTGTAATAGTGATGATTTTTATTTGTTTGTCCGTCAGGTTAATTATCGAATTAAATTTTTTGCTAAATCAAGTCACATGACATTTGTACATTTTCTACAAAGCTGTGACGTAGCGAGCTCACACTCGTCAACTTTAATTCCTATTATCTAACCTATTACTTGTATTTTGACTTTAATATTTGCACATCGTCGTGACTATAAAATATGCTGGTCTAAAAATTGTTAAACTGTAACCATATTTTCGCAAATAAAGATTATTAATGTAAAGAAAACCATGGTTTTCTTTCATTTAAATTGTTCATTTTCATTTAAAACGTCATCGAGTAGAAAAGTAACAAGTGCTTGAAGATTCGTCAGTCCTGTTAGGTCCTGGGTAGCTCAGCGGTTAGAGTAGTCGCCCATATAGCGGAAGATCGTGGGTTCGAATCCCATTGAGGGTGTCAGGGATTTTTTAAGTATTTTGTATTTAGAATATAGGTCCATCATCATGCATATTTGTGTGTATGTACAGATCTCCGGTGAGCGGTGGTCGTGACAAGCGCGTCTCGTTCCACGAGCGGGCGGCGGCGCCGAGTCCCACCCCCGCGCCCCCGCCCGCGCCCCCTTCCACCTCGCCCCCGCCCCTCGACCCGCAACCCAGGGAGGACCCCGATGTGAGTATCGAACGAATGCGTAGTATACGTAGTTAGCGTAATTATGGGGATTCAATAGCGCTTCAACTGCAACTTTTTATGACACAGATCTGTTAGGAAAATTTAAAAAACACCTCACATAATTTATGGACGCCCATAAATTATGTGAGGTGTTTTTTAAATTTTCTTGTAGTATCGAGTACTCAGTTGGAGTATAGCTTTTGAAAGTATCGATACCTACTCGGTATCGAAAGTATCGTTCGAACCCTACAAATATGGTGGTTTGACATTCAGTAGATGTATAGCGTCGAAGTATGAATGAAATATTTTTTTTTTTTTGAACGATTAATTGAATGATCCTAATCGTATACGATTACGCTTAAGATTAAATCTTAAGCATGTACAATCTGGATTAATTGGACCAAAATAGTTTTTTTTTTTATCCAATCAAAAAAAAAATTGCGTGATATTTGCCGAGACCCCCCCTCTCTCCAATGTAAGATTAGATGAGATTTGCCTCGACCCCTTCCCCCCCTTAAACATCTCACGTAATTTATGGACGCCCCCTTACTAGATCACAAAATAATAAATATATGTCATCGTTATTTAGTGAGGAAGACAATGCATTAAGAATGTTGACTTCACGTCGATAGTACAATTGCAATATTCGAGTAGTTAAGAGTCTTTTGAGGTGCTACTATTACGTAAACATTTGCAGAATATAACAAGACTCAAATCAAATTGTGTGGTGAAATTTTAATAAGTTAGATATATAGTCCAACTTATTCAGCTATAGGAAATAGCATGTAAATTATATTATAATTCCTTATTTTAATAATTTAAGAATCTTAACTTCTTCAGTACAATATATTATAATAATGTCAATATAAATTAATATACAATATAATAGTAATGTTAATACTACTACCGTCAATACTCAATAAAATTCATTTGCGAATGAACAGTAGTGAATTACTTTTATATTTATCCATTAACCGTATAGATATAAAACGAGTACTAACATTATGTCAAGTGCCCGTAAACTTCGCATTAAACGAAAATAGGTCGGTCGAAGGAGGTGAATTGTGTGAAGGTGAAAAAAATTCTAACCATAGCAATCCTAGTGTCGTCCCTCGCTTGACGTTTCTCTACAAAGCCCTTTTCCATCATTTAGAAATGCATCTTTCTATAAGTACACTCAAGAAATAAAGTGGTTTATAGTTATACTGAATTTTATCGTTTTTGTGTCTTTTTTTTCGTTGGATTTCAAAAATCACACTCAAGTGTAATATTGACTTTTGTGCAATGTGCAGTGAGTTTCGCGCTCATTTTGACACACCAATCAGAGGTTCAATTACGCGGTAAAGTTGCCCGAGATAGTTGAGTTTTGGAAGAATAAATACCAAATAATTATAATAGAATAATTACAAGAGATTTATTTGTCGCAGCGGTTCATCGAAGAGGCGGAAAATATGTTATCGGGCGGTGTATCACCCGGAGCGCCTGCGACCACGCATACGCCCGGGGTAATTGGTGCCCAAGAAGTTTACAGGTAAATTATAATAGTCTCACTATATTTAATTTATATTCAAACGAGAACATTTTTAAACTTAAGTTTTTGCTCATCTAATGTTCACTATTGCTGACCTACTATCTTGTTTATTGCCTTTGAAGTATGGTACACAGGGTTATATAAAACACCAGCATCCAAGCTTTTATGGTACTGCTGTGATATTTATAAGTCTATGTTTTATTTATAAAGATAGTATGCCGCTCCGCTCGTTTTTCTTGTCTTATTAAAGTTCGAGCGGTTAATTAAATTTAATATTATTATTATTTATTTTTGTAAAAAATCTTCAATCGCGGATTTGCAAATACACAATTCGAGCGGTAAGAATACACTAACGGATTTCACTTCATATAATTAATTGTTATATTTTTTATTTACATATAATTGTTATTTAAAATTAAAAAATCCAGACAAATTGACATTTTAAAATGAAAACTTAACTTACGTGCCAGTACTTTGAAATAATAAAAAACCGGCCAAGTCAGAGTCGAACTCGCGCACGCAGACAGGCATCCGTACCGGAAACCAGCAAAAAATCAATTTATTTGTATGGAAGCCCCCCTGAATGTTTATTTTATTCTGGTTTTTAGTGTTTGTTTGTTGAAGCGGCATAAGAAATACATCATCTCTGAAAATTACAACTAACTTTCACGGTTCATAAGATAATGCCTGGTGACAGACTGACAGGCGAAGTCTTAGTAATAAGATTGCCGTTTTGCATTTTGGGTATGGAACCCTAAAATGACATTAAAGACCAGAAACGTAAAAAACACATGAATTGCCTAGAAACAACGGCACGATACACCGTTACAACACTGTATATATGTTGAAACCCAATCGTTGAATTGGGCCGATCGAGACCTGCTCACGCATATCACGATATACCGCCATTTCTTGATTTGGCTAGGAAAATCACGATAAGCCTGATTAAAAGTTTTGCAAATCGACAAGAGCAACGTATTTGACAATTTGCCCGATTTTTATTGGTTAAATAATTTTAATTTGCCCACATACAGACATGGGCAGTAGGAGAAAACTTGTTGTTGCCCATCTTTGTTTACAGATTTCTTTGGTCACCCTACAAAATCTAGAGTATATTCGGAAAAACGTCAAACGTTAAACATTGAACGATATGGCGGATGATAGATGGGCAAATCAAGAAATGCCGGCATATCGTATATGTCCGGACAATTCTCGATCGGCCCAAATTAACGATTGGTCTACGTCATATGTTAATGTATGTATAGAGATCCGCGCGCCCGGCGGCTGGCTGAGCAGCAGGCGCGCGTCACCGCCGCTCCGGTACCGGAACAACTGTCCTTCAAGGAGAAGATGAAAATGTTCGCACTCGAGTCCGGAGAGAATTCCACACCCAAGGACAAGGTAAACTGCCGACTTTCTGATCACCTTCTTTGACCAACCCTGCTCAGTGGCGGACTAAGGGGTCCTGGGGGACCTCCGAATGCTGCAAGTTCCCTCGATCAAATTATAAATTGGGGTTGGAGGCTCCGTAGACAAATAAGTACAGCCTGTAGCGATAGTTTACATTTTTTTAATACTGGTGTGTTGACAGTAAACGAATATATCTTTTTTTCTGGTAGTATTTAATTCATTATGAAAAAACAAATATTTTACACTCGTAAAATGACCGCAAACAGCGCTTGACGTCACGCCCCTCGTACTCATGTCAGAACTTACAGAATTAAACTTTATACATACATAGAACGATATTGGTTTAAAAGGGCCGTGACGTTATAGCGACGCCATGACAGAAGTGAAGTTAACACGGAAAATTTTGAAAATAAAATTTATTTTTAGATTTTAGCTTTTAATATGAATGACCTTTTTTTATCCCTGTCTTCACCCTTATTAAATTACTATTACTGCTTCATCTTTCTTATGTCAAGTTTCGCAGTTTTTTTTTTACTTTCATTACCTTTAACCTTTAAATACTAAAGCCATATATAATATAAGTATACACAGTAATAATATTCTTTTATATTGAACTCGTCGAATACTGGGTTGGGGAATTCCCGTCTTATTGGGGGGGGGGGGGGGATCGAGTTAGTCCGCCACTGACCCTGGTTCCGTTATTTGATTCGGCTTTCTTGAGGTCTCTTGATATTTGTCTGACAGGTAGTCGGCAGCTCGCCTCTGCCTTTGAATTAAAGTAAAAAGTAGGTACTATTTAAAATAAAACAGAATATCCTATTGTATGTGGTTGACTATTTTTTATTCTACGCTCTCTAATGAATGTTTCAATCGCAGGTTAAAATATCTCGAGCTCAACGTGACATCGACGCAGTACACTAATCGTCGGTCGGCGTAAATCTACTTAAACGTTATTAAGTATATATATATGCCCCCTCTGGAACCTTAGTAGTACTAATCGAACATTGATTATCTTATTGTATGTAATGGATAATGGCACTCGTCACACATTATATCAGTATTAAACTACAAGAGATATATTAATAAATAGTTTAATAAAATATCCAAACTGATTATATAACTGTACGAATGAAGAGAAACGTGTTTCGTGGATATGTTTTGTCAGACCAAAACATTGCCTTTGACCGAATTTGGTACCAATTTTTTACGTCGTTCGTAGTGTAGCGACTTAATGGACGACTATATTTTTATGATTGTAGATTTCGATCGTTATACATTTCATATCGCCTTAGCAGCTAGAGCAACGTTTTATTGTGAGTTTCAGATTACATTTATCTAATTACCATATTTGGTGTGTCCAAAATATATTTACAATTATATTTTATATAAATTATAGTGCGTATAGTGTGAGGTCTTGATGCAATCTATAAAGTATTGTGCGACGAAATATTATACATACACATATTATACACCAATTACTTCAGGAAGGACCAATATTACGGTGTGGATGTCAGTAGGTGCCTTTATATGTTAGTGGATAAAATCATTTAACATAGCCTCTGTTTGATTTATTCGAAACTTCGTTACATTCCAAAGAGTATTTTATATTTATATAAATATTCTTTATCAACTTCTCTATTACGTGAGTAAGCATTCCTATGACTTGTATGATCCCGTTTAAAGTCTATGTGTATAACACACTGTTAATTATGAAGTTGACAGTACATTGAGTCAACATAAAGCAATAAATATTTGTGAAGCCTTTGTTGTAAATAAAAACGATTAAGTTTTTTATATAATATTTTTAAGCACATATTTGTGCCAAAATTACAAAAAAAAAGGAATGCACTTGTGACGCTAAAGTGTGTAAAGCTTCGGACGATTTGTCTGAATTTGTTGGCAGCTGTATGGGTAGCTTCAGTACGGAGTTGAAAGCGTCATTAGCCTAGCCAACTGTTATAGTAAGACCAAAAGACTTAGATTCTGTTACACGCTTCTGATTAGGATAACCAGTTAATAACAGTTGTTCTTCAAACGAACGTATTAACGAGTCTTCCAATTTGATGTCTAAACGATCGAAAGCATTGATAATAATAGAATCCTGTTTTTTTTTTAAATAGTATTTATAGAATATCATAAGTATATATTTATAGTTTTTATCACGTTGGCATCCATAAGCATCACGTTTTCTTCTCTGTGTGGCCAAAAACTATTTTTTCAGGCTTTATTTGGGGACCAGGTACTAATTTTAACGGCAACCGAGTTATGTATCCTTCGATTTTAAGATCAGTTTTGTATGGGGTGTGGGAGCAATACTGTAGGTGTAGTACGGTGGGAGCCAGCGTGTTAATCTGTAATACTGTAGAAGGATTCGATTGAATATTTACAATAACTTGTTTCTTAAATTTGTATGTCATAGAAAATAAAAAAATATTTATAAATTTTGTTTATATTACGGATGGTTTTGAAATATCACCTCGCCTATGGAAAATAGGCAGTCTATAGTCGTGGTGGCTCATGAAAAATTTGTAATTAAACAATCTGTTTCTTAATAGAGCAATCAGAAAATCGATAATCCTCTGACCCCTTACTGACGTCAAATTATCTAGCGACAATGTTGAATAGTAGTTTATGAATCAAATTGGCTGGATGTATGTTTGTTTAAAAGAACTAAGTGTTATTTCGTCATTTGATATTGACCTGAGTATTGACAACAGGCGAAGAACATAGATTTTCTTCAATTTTTTTTTCTTCATTTTATCTAGTAAAGTTCTTGAACTGAATAACTTTGTCTTATTATTTCTGATGCTAAAGCGTATTTGATTATTACAACCTAGCTGTACCTAATACATATTTTGGTGATAGTGTCCTGCATGAAAGCAACTGAGCATTTAAAAACATAAAAATGAAAATGTAAAAAATGAATTTTCGAATTTTTATGATTTTATCATACATGAATGTAAATTGTGTGTAACAGAATCGGGATCTTTGTGGCTTTAATTTATTGTATATAATAGTTAATAAAGTCCAAATAATTATGTTAAGATTTTGTACACCTGTTTGTATTTGTACATGTTTATTTAAAGAATTTATCTGGACATGTAAAGGGCCTATTCATAATTTGTAGATTTACTTTAGTATCTGAGAATTTAATCAAAAGGTTCTCAGTATTGACCCAACGATAGTCAATTAGCGAAAGATTGAGATTTATTTGTAGAATGGAGTATTAATAAATTTATTATTTTCTTGCTTAGATGTATATAATCACATTTCATCAAATAGTTTTATAGTTGAATACTTGACTATTAAAAATGTAAGTAATTGAAATGGAATACATTTCAAATATTTCTTTTATTATTATTATTACCATTAATTAATTATTGTACTTCATAAAACCTATTACAATCAAATAATAAATACCTTAACTTTATGATGCATTTATTATTTCGTATATCACCTGCCTTGTCTACCCTACCAACAAAGGGTTGTAACAGAAAAACCACCAAGAATAGGGATGACGACTAATTATTGTTTGTTTGTTCGTCAGGTAGGTTATTGAAGAATGTTAAACACGTATTTTTTAATTTTTGCCGGATCAATAAATTAGGGCGATACATTGAATTAAAATGTCACATGACGTCACGCTTTTGTACATTTTCTACAAAACTGACATAATTAAGATCCCATCCACTCAATAAATTTCCAAGTATAACTAATATTTCACACAAAAAGTATAAGCTCTTATTACAAAGATTTAAAAATCATAAAAATATCAGACCATAGGTTTATTTGAAACTAGCTGTGCCCGCGACTGCGTCTGCATGATATCAGAAGAATTGTTTTTTATGGGTGGGATCGAATCAAGTAGGATCAATGGTCTGTTACACACTTACGCGGGCCCAATGCGAATTTGACTACTGATGCAACCAGGACGATACGATGTTTCAACTGTTCTTCTTTTGATTTTAATCTTTAAAAAAAATTATTTGTTTATCTGTCTAGTTATGTGCGCAATCTATAATTTTGGTTATGTTTTTCCACAGAACATAGAGAGAGAATAGAAGTATAATGATATTGATTTAGTATGGGAACCGAGTGTCGACTCTCCGCACACAAATACAGATTAGATGAAATGATCATTTTGTTCACTACATGAAAAACTGCCACGCGATACGTTCGTGATAACATAAACAGAATCCCAAAAAGATACTAAGCTAAGAAATCACACGATTAAAAACAAACTCTAATTCAACGTGATAATAAATAATTTACTTTAACATGAATGTTGAACTGTCACGTGGCTGTATACGGGGATACCAGAAGGGAAAAAATATTTTAAGATTATGCACATTTTAAAAAATTGGGGACATCATTTTATGTGCGAACTATTAAGATTAGATTTTGCTGTAACCAAGTGAATATTAAAAAATAACGCTTTTCCCTATATAACTTCTTTTAAAAAACGCAGTACAAAAACTAAGATAACTTAATGATAAACTCTATCATATGTCTGTGGAGTAATATAATTAAGCGAGGGAAAGTGTAAAAAAAAAACAAAAATTAAGAAACCAACAGAATTTTTGTATTAATTACATTAAGCCTAATTTGTAATTTTTTCTTACTGGTATCATTCCGATTGTGCATATTAGTGATGTGACATAATAGTAGTTGATGAAATAAGAGGTTTAAATTTTGTTATGAAACAGTAAAATGTAATTCAGTTCGACAATGTTCTACAGTGGTTTGATAGTAATTATTTAAAGCTTAATTCAAATAAAATGAAATACATAAAGTTTGCATTACCTAATGTGAGGCATATTAATACACTTATAAATGTAAATAGTGAAAAAGTTGAGTTGGTGAAATCGACAAAGTTCCTCGGTATTACACTAGATTCCCGACTGCAATGGGATCCTCATATTGATAATTTGTCAAGTAGACTAAGTTCTGCAGCATTTGCTGTTAAGCAAATTAGACTCTTGACAAATGTTGAAACGGCAGGATTGGTATATTTTAGTTATTTTCATAGTGTAATGACGTATAATCTATTGTTGTGGGGTTCTGCGGCTAGCATTCAAGATATTTTTATTCTACAAAAGAGAGCTGTCCATGCTATATATAATTAACGGTCTAGAGAATCTCTCAGAGAAATATTTAAAGAAATAAATATTTTGACTGTTGCCTCTCAATACACCAATGAAAATATTATCTACGCAAGAAAACATTACGCAAAAAAAAAGTAGTGTTCATAATCATAACACAAGAAATAAAAATAAACTTGCCGTTCCAAGCTTCAGACTTCAGAAAACCAGAGGATCAATGCATTTACATTGCTATGTTCAATAAAGTTCCACAAAATGTAGTTGACCTACCCATAAATAAATTTAAAATTCATGTAATGAACATATGTACTTATGAGTAAAGGCTATTATAAAGTTGATGATTATTTTAAGAATTGCAATGCATGGAATGAATAGCCATCGCTTTGTTCTATAAAGACTAATTATATGTTCAACCTATGTCCTACAGACTTTGAAAGTTGTATTTATTATTGTGATTAGATATGAAATGACATGATTTATGTAAATATCATAGGGCTGGTAAGTTTCTTTCGCTTGTTCTTCTTGTCGGCTAAAAGACGTCCTGAACAAGTGGTAGGGGAAAAAAATTTTTTGGACGATTCAAAAGCAATTCATAATAACTAATATGATCATTACAATAATAAATTGATCATAGCCATGTTTGTTTTACTTTATTATTCTAAGTTTTATAACTGTAATAATAATAGTACCTACATTTTTAATTGCAACGACTGGACAATAAGGAATCGCTGGTCAAGTATGAGTTTAAAAGCCGTGACAAAAAAGTTTGAAGACAGACACAAAAGCGATAAGTACAAACGTCAATCTACATATAAAGTCACATACGTTTGAGACATGCGTTTATAAACTTATGTGCAAATATGAAGCAACAAAAATATTGATAAAAGCTGTTCTGTGGGCGGTTCTTTAAAGTGGCTATCTTAACTCGATTTCTATAATAATGGTTTCCGATTATGAATCAGCATAATAAAGTAAATTAAATTGACGCCTATAAATTAATTTTGTAAATTAAATTCACACCACCAACAATATTACGTTAGTTGAAAACATGATTTTTTGTTTGTATAGATAATATGTTGTTTTGAAATTCATTTGATAGGTTTAGGTCTAAAACGGATAGGACAAAATAAATTATGTAAACAGGGCAATCCGTTGTAAAGTTATTAGGGAAACTGAAATATAAGTAATGCAAAATAAGTGAAATCCAGTTTCACCAGTTTCTAATAAGACCTATTAGGCCAACACTCGTAGCTTTTCACGAAGTTTCGTTTGATTTATATATTGTTCATAAAACGTTGATATACTTCGTAACTGAGATATTTATAGCACATCAATATTTTTTAATATTTATCTGCGTGTAAATAATTAACCGAATCTTTGTAAAAAAGTGCCTGAATAGTTCATTATTTCATCTGTTCAGTATCAATTCATCTTTTATTTTCAGGAGGCACAGCACTATTTTTTGCAAAAGTGCACAATATGATTTACATTGCTGTCTAGAAACGGGGTTAGAGACATTAATGTTGGTTTGAGCAAACAATGTATATTTTATTTGAAATTGTGTCAAATTATTACATTTTTTATATTTTAGCACTAAAATTGTACTTACCAGTGAAAGGAAATGTTTGCATTAGTTAGATTGTATACTTTGTTTTGCTTTTTGCAAGTGATAATAGCACAAAACGGTATTTTTTATAGAAAAAATCAGTAAAATCACCACTCGATGATTGACGAACGACTGACAAATATAAAACCGAGGAAAGGGCGTCATATGAGTAAAAGCGCATATGCCAGCGACGCTTGCCCCGCCCACTTACTACTTCTATTCTCTCTCTATGTTCTGTGTGTTTTTCCATCCAATGCTAGGTTTCCTGAAAGAAATCGCTGCCTAGCGCTAAGTTTATCTTTAGAACATAGTTATGAATGTTATATATGAAAAATATATATGTCTGTTGGTGTCATTTTCTTGTTGCGCAATAGTTTACTTACTTAACCGCATCGTAAACAGAATAGGCTTACCTCTAATCATAAAAAGAAGAAAAAATTGCATTGTTTTTTTGCATCGAATTGGTTCCGAAACCACTTAACCAATTAAAAAATTTTTTTTCACCTACTGGAAGCAACGTGATACTCGGGTGACGCAGGTTATAATTTACGCGGCTAGGTAACAGTTAATTATATAGGTATGCTTGTGGGGGTTTAGGCAGGGGGTGAAGGCAACAGCGATTGGCGATAATCGAAACTACTTTCTCGCTCTCTATACTGTAAAGTCCGAGCTCTTTAAGGGATCGACCGCATTTATCAAAGGAAGTTAAAGACTCAAACAATACTGCATATGTGTTACGAGCAGTTAGACGTCAGCCGAGTCACCAGGACACTCAAGTATTGGACCATTGGTCCCATCGAAGATGCAGACGCTCGGGTCCATCGAGAGCTTCTCCCGAACATGTGAGGCCCTGCAATGCACAGGTGGCTGCCGACCACCTCCGCTAGCCTCGAAGACATAAACCTGACCAGATAAGAATTTACTATCGAAAACCTTATACGTATCCCTTGATCTCCTACTTGCGTGATCGTTTATGACATGTCCATTATAAGCTTCAGCTTATAATACTTATATATGATCAATCATATCTATTAAGGTTCACCCTATTTAATATGATAAATTGAAATCAACTTACATTGCAGTATCCAAAATATAAATAAGTTATAGTTTTACAGACAATATCTATTGATATCGTATCTCGATAGCGCAACGAATAAGCGTCGCTACCCGCGATTGTTGTTGTTAACCAATTTTTGAATGGGTTGTTTAAGGGATGGGTGACCAAAAAATATTAAAATACTAGGCCTGAGCCACACTGCATGGCGATGTAATAGAGCTGACGATGATAGACAAATATATCAGACTAAAATTTAATAAAGTAATTAATTATTTGATATAACTTTTTTTATTTATGAACCGGTTGAAATAAATTGATTGAAAAACACTAAATGTTAACGTAAGGTTACCACAATACAGTAGCGGAAACTACATTAAAATGGGTTCAGTTGTTTTTGTGATCAGCGCGCACAAACGCACGGACAGACTGTTACGTGTATACATGGCTTTCATGAGTTTATTTTTTTCATATATTTTCAATGTACGGACATCGATCGGTTACGTTTTTATTATAGTCTAGATAGATATAGATAGAATTGTGGTTAATTACTCGGGTGGCTTAACGGTTAAATTAAAACACAATTGTTATCATACTAGTCACATATTTGTATTTATTTTAAATATAAGTAACAATTTTTACTGTATTTACAATAGTTTCATCTGCATTTTCAAATCCTGGTCATTTACAGAAAAATATATCAGAAAATCCATTACAGATTTGTCAAAACACATGTCTAACAGAATACTAAACGCATATTTTATAATCCGAAAAATCTTCAGAATCAAAACTAATATCAAACAGTATTTTATACCAAGATTAGGTAAATAAATATATACATTTCCTATCTTCTTTAATCAACCAAGTACAAATTTCAGTTCGTTACTATATTTTACGGTTTTGATTTCTTCATAACCTTCCTTCTTCTTTTCACAAATACTCTAACATCGGGAGCATCTGTCTCGGTTTGCGAGTCTAATGTTTCAGCATTTGAAGATTGATCTTTTGCAACACTATTACTATCAATACTTACAATTATGTTAGGTTTAGAATTATTGATACAATCCGAATTAGATGTTGAATTACCTGTAACTGGTGTAAGGTTGGTATCTTTATGTGGAGTAGAAGTAGCTAAAGCTTTTAATAATAAGTCTGGCTTCTGTATTAAAATGTTCTGAATGTCATTAGGATTACCATTGTTTTCTTCAAAATATTCATTTTTCTGTGATTCAGATATATCTGTTCTCATATCTTTAGACTCAAAGTCACATGAAATTGTAGAGTAAATATCATTATTGTTTGAGGAACTGTTTTTATCAGTTTCATTTTTCTTAGGTTTCTTTTCCTCAGAATCATTATCAATTTTAGTGGTTTTGTAATTTAATTGATTTGGTAATTTTATTGCCGTTTCTGTAACCAAATTCCTGTCACCATTTGTGTTGTTTACATCATTATTTATTGTTGAAGATGAATGTAGTGCCTCGTTTTCAACAGATTTTAACAAATCTACATCTTGAGCGTCTTCACAAATGGGAATGTATTGAACAGAAGTTTGAACATGAGTTTCTGTAGGTAGTATTCCCAAGTCATCTGGTGTTATTAAACTACTTGTTGTATCACCAAACAATTCACTGAATTTAGAATTTATTTCCTTCTGTACTTTCGTGTCTTTTTTGGGTTTTATTCTCTTTTCTAAGGTAGCGTCGGGTTCTTTTGAAGCTTTATGTGTTCTTCTTTTGGATTTAGATTTCTTAACATCTTCATTCGTAATGGTCTCTGGATTCGTTTCCGAATCGAGGACTGCATTGGTTTTACTCGTTTCACTAGGACAATGTAAACTGTCCAACTGTTGAACTTTATTTTTATCTTTGTAAGAAGTAATATTGTTTTCAGTGTTAAGATTTTTCCGCTCATCTGTGTTGTCACAAGTTTCGTCACTTAATTCCAAATCTTTTTCCACTGACGGTTCTCGAGCATTTTTGTCTCGCGCGTTTTTATGTTTACTACTGGTCAGAACTTGCGTGTTGAATGGGCCTAGTTTATCACTAGTGTTCGGCATAGCTTTTTCCGGTGACTTATTTCTCTTCATATTTTCAGAAATAAGTGAGTTGGATTGCTTTTCATTTATATTGTCATCATTTATTTTTAGGCTGATCACACGTTTCTCTTCTATTTCTTTAGCATTATAGTGACTAATGCCATGGTTCTTTTCAATTTCTTTTTTTAATTTTGGAATTTTATATCTAAGTATACTTAAATCTTTTGATGTTGACTGTTTATCGGATGTCGCATTATTGTTTGGGACTTCATCAGAGTATTGTTTATGAGATGATTTATTTGTTAATAATAAATCTAAGTCATCTCTTTGATATGGCATTATTTCACCAGATTCTAAGGACATATTAGAAACTGGGTTGTCAATATCCATATATATATTTTGAACAATGTCATCACTACACTGTGATGGTCTACGTGTTAGAGCTTTTGGTATATCAACACGCTTTATACCCCAATTTAAAGTATCAATTACTTTTAAATCAATATTCCTTCCTGTAATTGTTGATATACCATTATCACCTTGATGTAAGACATACCTTTTACTGAATAGTCGAGGATCATCTAATTCAGTCACAGCTGTTAATCTAATTTCTGTAATAGTGGACATCATTATTGTATTACACACTAGTATTTACAATATTCTATATATAAAATACACATTTTCTTAGTTTAATAAGAAACATTGAAAATAATTTGTTAAAAAAAGAATTACATCTTTAAGATATGCAGTGGCGGACGAAGGGGGCGGGAAAGGTACGCCCCGGTCTCGATGCCGCCCCGGGCCTCTGATGGAGTTAGTCCGCCACAATATGGCTTAAAATAGAAAACTTACCTCTGATAGGTTGTGTAGAAATCATCTCTGGCATTACTGAATAATCAGGGGACTGGCAATGCATATAATTAATATCCACAACGGGAACAGAATACGGTATGAGGGCTTTATCCTCTATGCACCTCTTTTCTTCTTCATATTTATTGGTAGAGGTATGTCTTTTTTTTTTATTTGGTAGTTCTTCAGTATCATTTGGCAATTTATGTTTAATTGAATAGTTATCTTGTTGTCTGTCTCTGTTCCTTTCATTATCATAATATTCATCTCTATCAAACCTTGACCTAGTTTCCCGATTTCTCCGTTGATAATTATGTAATCTATCAGGAGATGGGCTTTCCAGAACTCTGTGTCTGTTGAATTCTGATCTTGAGTTGTGGCTATCCAGATACTTGCTGATGTTTCTTCTAGATTTTTCTGGACTAAAATGTCTTCTATATTTTTGTCGGTCTCTACTTCTATTCCTGTAACTATCATATCTACTACTTCTACGTCTACTGTCGTTGTTCGATTTATGGTGGCCCGAGTATTTATCATCCATACTGGATGTTTCAGATGTTCTATATCTATCGTCTAATCTATTCTTCTCTTGAAATGTCTTACACACATACTGTGGTTTTGTGTCTTGGTTCACTTTTTGAAACTTGACACCAGCAGCGCAATAATTGTCTTCTTCATCATCATCCGAGCTAAACTTTAAATCTGACCTAAAAATATATTGTCAAATGTTATAATAGTCTAACTTTACAAATTAGGTCATGAAATAGCTAATCGTGATTTGACAATAATGTTAACTCTTAATTCCATTTCATAGGTTGTTTATTGTAGAATTTTTAATGTTAAATATATAAATGTCAATAAATACATTCAAAACGCATTTTACAATCATCATCATGACCCCTTTTACGTCCCCACTGCAGGGGGCTCTGAACTTCTTTATGGATGGTTAAGGAGGATGGGCCATGACCCTCCACGTTTCGTTTCAGGTCCAATGCGGATTGGGGGTATGGTGGCGGGTATATTGGCGGGCACAATGGTTAACACGTTTGGTCTTTCATGCAAAAATTGAGCAAACTTTCGTAAAGGCCGGTTATAGGATAAATGACCAACAATAATTATCTCGAGCTCCTCCGTGTTTCGAAAGGCACGTTAAGCTGTAAGGCCTAGCTTTATCTTATAAAATATTTTTAAATTTCAATCAGGCTGTGAATGTTGTTTATTAGAGATGCGATTTAATAGTGGTTTCACCTAATAACCGAATACCGAATATTCAGTTTCAGTTTAAGTTATTGGTTTGGAAACGTCAAAGTCATCGCGCGCATAACATACGCGTCGTAAGATTTAGTGACATTTTTAGTGTAAAATCGTGAATTTCCACACAAAACTATCAAAAAAGTGATCATAGAAGTCTTATAGTGCTGTGATAGTGTTATCTTGAAAAACTCTTTAGAGATTACGACAAAAACCGGTGCTAAAAGAACTCAATACACACGTGAAAATTCAATCTACCCTCAGCATTTTGTTTTTGTGAATTAATTACAATAAGTTAAATGACAGTTCTTGAACTCAGTGTTGCTAGAGCAAAAACTTATATATTACTAAAAACCTGTAAAACCTATAAAAATGTCGGCAACTAATAATCAGTCCTCTAATAATTCCGACAACCTACTAGGCAAACCAAATATTCCGAACACAACCAAGAAATTCGTCCAACAAACGTTTCACCCCAGCCTATTCAATAGAAAACGGCGAAACTCTGTGAACATAGCTCTGGAAAATGAAAGGAATGTAACACAGGATCAAGCTGGCCCTCCAGCTTGGCAAAGGTAACAGGTAAAGGTAAAAGGTAAAAAACGTAAGAAAATCTCAGAATCTCCCTCACCCCTCCGTAGCAGAAGTAAGACTGAAACATTGAACAGATGGTCTACCTACTGACTGCACAGAAGAAACAGAACAAACCTCCAGCTATCATGCTTTATGGAATTGAGGCTCTTAACAAGCTAACAGAACTTCTCATTTCGGCAACAGAAAAAGAAACCTTCACATATAAAAATGTAAATAGAAACCAACTACTAATAAGCTACAGGGATATAGAAGTCTACAAGAAAATCATCAGTATTGTGCGTGAAAATAACCTCATTGGACCCAGTTAACAGGAAAGAGGAACGGTGTTTTAGAATCGTTATTCGGAATCTCCACCCAACAACACCCCATGATGCTATAAAGGAGGATATTGAAAGCACAGGGAACACCGTCTCAGGTGAAATAATAAACGCAAAATGTGGACCCGACAAAAAAGCCACCTCAACATTCTTTGTCAATCTATTACCAGGGCCAAAAAATAAGGCAGTAAAGGAATTAAAATATAGATATATTTTAATAGAAGATCCGAAAAAGAGGAAAAGCATTGTACAATGCCTACGGTGTCAGCAGTATGTTCACTCAAAAAACTACTGTATGAGACCATATCTCTGCGTGAAATGTACTCAGCCTCATAAAACCTCTGATTGCACAAAACAAGACAGGAATACACCAGCCCAGTGCTTTCTTTGTGATGGACCCCACCCTGCAAACTACAAGGGCTGCGGGGTGTATAAAGAAATCATTGCAAGGAAAAAACCTTCAATAGACAACCGAAGGTGGAGCGGCCGCAGCAGCAACATTTCATAAACCTAGAGCAACCAACACTCTCATCTATGCCAGAAGAGCACACACTGACCAAAGATAAACATAAATCGTTCTCCGAAGCTGTAAAATTTGGAAATAGCAAGGAACCTAGTAATAATATTGAAGTATTACTCATGAGACAAACGGTTAAGTTCGAACTTATTCTAGAACAAATGAGTACTCTGATGTCAAGGGTACAAAGACAAGTGTTCTCCTAACTACACTTGTCATCCACCACGCCAAGACCTCAAAATGACTACGATAAGACTAGGAACCTGGAACACAAATAGATATACACATGGATACACCAAATAAACATGAGGTTGAGCTCCTATTAAATAACCACAAACTAGATATACTACTAGTATCAGAAGCCCATTGTACCGAAGCAGGCACAGCAATAATTGTGAGAAACAGTTAAACATTACCTTATGCCCGAATATAGAACAGAACATATTCAAGCCACCACAATTTCTATTGAAGACAACACTGGCCATCTTAATGTGTCTGCAATATACTGCCCCCCTAAACATAAAATATCTAATTTTATGTATGACGAGTTCTTTAAAACGCTTGAAACCCGTTTTATCATTGGTGGCGACTGGAACGCCAAGCACACTCATTGGGGATCCAGACTTATTACTACCAGAGGAAGAGAATTAAAAAAAAGCGTCAACAATAACAGGCTGCTAAGTGGAGATTGCCACTGGAGAGCCAACCTACTGGCCGACAGATCCAAATTAAACGCCAGATCTCGTCGATTTTTATATCTCGAAGGGGCTTTCGAAGCACTACCTAAAACCCGAGTCATGTTATGACAGTTGCTCAGATCATACACCTGTGTTATTGTTATTGTTAACTGTAAGCTCACTTTTAATAGAATGTCACAGACCAAATATTCTATACAACAGAAATACCGCCTGGTAATCTTTCAGAGAGTTTTTGATGAAAAGATTGAGCTCAAAATTGGCCTCAATACAGCAGGGGATATAGAAAACGCGGCAAAATACATAATATGTCTTATACAAAAGGCTTGCTGGCTAAACACTCCAGACGAAGTGTGCTATACAAGACACTCAAATTATCCCCTCGAAATAAAGAATGCTGTCCTTGAAAAAAGAAGATTGAGAAGAGTCTGTGCAATTAAGGAGGCTTGATGAAGATAAGAAACTCTTTAACAAAGAAGCTAAAAAACTAAAACATATGCTTCAACACTGGCACAATAACACCTTACAAACACAACTAGAATCATTGACTCCTATAGTATCAACAAATTATTCTTTGTGGAAATTTACTAAAAACTACGATAGACCACAAATACCTAAACCACCGCTCAGAAAAAATAATGGCTGGGCACGACTTCTTAAGAAAAAGTGAAAAACTTATATTTTTGCTGAACATCTAGCTGAAGTATTATGTACAAATGAAATGAAAGCAAAGTCGATATGATTTTTAATCAAGACCTTCAAATGTCACCACCATCAGCTACTGTAATAAGTAAGACAGGTATGGAGCATGATAGCAAGCCTCAAAGACAAAAAAGCTCCCGGATTTGACCATATCACAAAAGAAATCCTAAAACAACTACCGCGAAAAGCTATTGTCTTTTTAACTACCCTATTCAATGGTGTTCTAAGAGTACAATACTACCCTAACCTGTGGTAAGTATCACAAATTCAAATGATACATAAACCAGGCAACATATCAGTCAACTTGCAATACTATCTAAGCTGTTTGAGAAACTACTCTTGAAAAAAATATTGCCAATATTAGAGACCACAAAGATAATACCCAGTCACCAGTTCGGGTTCAGACATCAACACTCTACCATTGAACAGGTACATCGTGTTGTTGACAGGATACGGAGAACACTAGAGGAAAAAGAATACTGCTCGTCTGCTTTTCTGGACATACAACAGGCCTTTGACAGAGTTTGTCACAAGGGCCTACTTTGTAAACTACGCTCCAGTCTTTCTCATAGCTTCTACATTCTCATGAGCTCTTACCTTTCTGAACGGATCTTCCAAGTCATAGAAACAGATAAAATCTCCAAATTCTTTGAGATCAAAGCTGGTGTTCCTCAAGGTTCAGTCCTGGGGCCGGTCCTATATACTGTCTATACAGCAGATCTTCCACAAATTGAGGGAATCACAACAGCCACATTCGCTGATGACACGGCAATTTTAGCTTATAGCAAAGATCAAGTTGGACTAAACGCAGTGACAAAATGGTTAGAGAAATGGAAAATTAAAACAAGGCCTCCAAATCGGTACAGATCACATTCACTCTCAGAACTGGAAATTATCCTAAGTAAAACTCGAAAACATGCCACTTCCTCACCATGAAAAAGTCTAGATCTTGATCGACGGCTCACGTGGAACCATCATATCTAAACCAAGAGAAATGAATTAAATATTTGCTATAAAGACTTATTCTGGATCTTAGGAAGAAATAGTAAGTTGTCTATTGACAATAAGCTATTAATCTACAAAACATTTGCTAGCAATTCCAGCATTTCAGTACTTCAAAGAGCACAAAATGCCATACTTCGATCTCTAAGTAATGTGCCGTGGTTAATAACCAACACAGAAATCCACAAAAATCTAAGAATGAACACTGTGAAGGAAGAAATCCAAAATTACACAGACAGACTGAAACGACATCCAAATGAACTGGCAGCAAAGCTAATAAATCCAAGCTACAATACGTGCCTTAAAAGAAAGGACATCCTGGACTTGTAACAAATCTGATGGAAGATAAAAACGAAGTGTAGCTGTTCTTACTGGAGGACATACTCTACAAATGAAGATACACTCAAAATACCCGCTTAAAGCACATAATGCTGATAGCAGATTACTACAAAGTAACAAAAAAAAAAATATTAAGCTTAACCAAACCAGATATAAGGCCGAATCATTTGGTTTACCATTCCATGGTTTTATTTAGCCAGAGTGTTTCTCAGTGCTCCTGATAGTATGGCGTGTGTATAGCAAACGATTATTTCGGAAGCAAGCAACCCACGCAATAGAATCTTGCTGAAGAGGGCAAAGAGCTTAGTGTTTCTGAACAATAATTTACCATTGATTAATTATAAATATTAGAATATGTATGTTTCTTTTTGCTTATCTTTTTGTTTTATCTCTGATCTCTACTATATTTATATATATAAATATACACATATATATATATTTATTTCTATTTTTGTTAATTAAATGTATTTATTAATAAATTAAAATGTCAAATTGAAGTTTGAAAATGTTAACTATAGTTTATAAAATAAATATTTATATACCAAAGGATCTTTTTGACTTTTTAATATTAAATAAATCTTACAAAGAAAATTTGTCTCTTAGTTCTATACTATAGTATATAGCCAAAAAAATGTAAGTACTCGAACCAAATATATTCAACACAAAAACCAAGTATTTGGTTCAATATATTCATTACGAAAACATGTAGAAATTGCTATGTGTAAATGAAAGCATGAAGCAATTATGAGGATATTGAAAACTTTTAACTAATATGGTGCCCGTCACACACTCTCGGAATTTGACTGAGTGTCATATTAGTTGTAGCCTGTATTTGTATAAAACTATTATAAATACCTAACAGCTGGCATCGATTTTCGTCTACTATTTACACTTAAGGGTTTAGGCTTAGACTTCACAGTGTCTTCCTTGTTCATATTTTCCTTCTTTTCTTGATTATTACTTAAATTATCAACATTTTTGGTCACACAGGTTTTTAAATTATCAGTACTACCACTGGCGGTAGTAGTAGTTTCCTCAGATGATAAATGCTTTTGATTTTTTCTGTAACATATCAGTTGATATAGTAAGATTATTGATAAACAAAAATTAAGACTATTTAAGAGAATGAATACTGATAAAATTGATCAAACACATAATGAGAGCAAAACAGTTTCACAAACCAAACTAAATGTTAGTCCTATCAAAATGCCTTTTGAATTGTGAAAATAACAGAAATAAGACAAGTAAACTTATTAAATTATAGTAGTAGGAGGATAATTATATTCATTTTGACTATGTAAGTACAGAATAATGTTTAAACAAACTTAAATAAAATTTGAAACAACACAATTGGTGCAAATGATTAGGAAATACAATATTTTACTGACCTTTCATTATTTGTTACTGTAGCACTTTCCATGACAGCGCTCTTATTTTTTTTATACAATGTGGAATTAGACCTGGCCATTCTCAAAACAGGTATGTTCTTATTTTGAATTGCATTTAAAACCATCATATCCTTTCTGTAAAAATATTAAAACTTTCTAATAATATTTAAATTAAACTCTTCTGTAAGAAATATAATGAGGAGAAAAAAAAACAGCCCTCTGTGAGTTTCTTGCCAATTCTTCTCAGTACAAAGTCTCCTGCTGTAGATTATAGAACAAATAGCATAACTTTTGACATTCACAAGTATTAGATTGAATAAATCATATTGAATTTGAATTATCATTTATAATGAGAAATCAGAAGAATTGAGATTTAAAACACTTTGTTAAAATAATAAATTAACATAACAGATAATAAATAAACCATGAGACAATAGTACTTACTCAAGATTCAGATTTGTAATAATTTGAGTTTTTCTTGCTATTTCCTCTTTAGCAGTTTTTAATAAGGATGAGTAATTGGTTTCTAATTTTTTAAATTCTGAAGAAAGTTTGTCAAAATCCTGCAAAATATTCTAAAATATCAATGCACATCCATTCTATAACATTTTCAATGACAATCAATAATAGCAAATAGGCTCACAAGAAGCTTATTAGTATATCCATAACTTAAATCCATAGATACAATTGGTAAAGAAAATCACAAGCAAGATTCAACAACAAACAACAATTTACTTACTTTTTGCAATTTGTCAAGGGTAACAGAATATTCCTCAAGTTTGCATTTTAATTCACCATTTTCTCTTTTCAACTAAAAAATAAGTTTCCCGTATATAATAGGAAAAACAAAATGTTCAAAATACGAGTAATTCATATTTATGCAAGCAATGTACAAATATATTAAACATCAAAATCTGAGAATAAGCACAAAGTACTATTTCGCGCTAAAATTACATACCTCATCGACTATGTTTTCGTCTTCGTAGTTTTCCAAATTATCATACAAATTTTCCATTTTTAACAAATATTGTGGAGAAAATTATCATAGATTTATTTTTCCCAGTAAATTGAGCCCTATTTTGCTTTTCAACACATATCTTTAGCCATTGCAACGCACCGAAAATGAAGAAGGCACAATTTATAACACAGACTAGTAAGGAATTTATAATTTACAAATGGAAATGACAGTGACATGACAGCCAGGAGGGTGACCGTTTCAAAAATGTTAAATCTGCCCGACACTACCCAGAAATCTACCAAAGTGGTTTCCAAAAAGTGCCAAAAATATGCCATCATATTTTTGCGTAATTAGAGTAAGTACAACAGTAGAAAATATAAATAATAACGATATAAACAGTAGAAAATAAATGAAGGCGACCCTGTCGTTTAATAGGATAACAATTTTCATAGAAATCCATTGGTCGTCATGTTAACAGTGTCGCAGTTGTATGGAGTTTCTGGTGTTAGTAGTAAAAATAATTGTAGTTCCCATTTATTCCGTTTTCAATTTTCGTGTTTTTTTATTCCTTTTATTGTTAAAAGTAATGACGACACATGATTTTTCAGGAACCTGTTCCTAGTTTTTGTTTTATTATCATCAGCCCTATTGTCAGTTTCATCAGTTTCATCAGCATTAGACAGTTTTCACAATCTATTAATGGAGGCAGTTGATGATGACTTATTTTTTTCTTATTGGGGAAGGAAACATTGATATTTCTTTTACAAAAACGTGCGCTTGTTCGTCCTGTGTATACTGAATTAAAATGAAAAAACATATTGTTACTACTAATGGTTCGGGATGAAAATTAAAGTCATAGTTCTCAATCCGACTTTATTTAATTAACAAAATCACAAAAAATAATTCTAACAACAAAATACACACTTTAGCTTCCCTATTTCACGTCACTACGGTCACTTTACAAAACTAGTAAATCGTTCACCGCACTAGTAAAAAAATATACTAAACGCCGCTACAACGTTATGTCTTGAATTTTGAATCGTCTCGATCGGACATTGATTTTATAATTACTTGTGAAGGCATGAACAAATAACATAGGGAATTTAATTAGTAAAACATTATTTAAATACATTAAAATTATAAAAATACAAAACATTTATACCTCAAAAAATATACTATAACACTGTGAGTGAAAAAGTGATCAAATAGGCAATATTTAGAAATAAAAGAAATGCAAATAAGCTGCGATTTGACGTGGTTTTCAAAGCACGGAAAAGACCGGAATTTTAAATTTTTCTCGCTCATAAGACCAGCTATTGGGAGAAGTAATGACAGGTCGATGCGCTACCCATCACCAAAAAATCGTTAGAAACCTTGAAAAAAGTAGTAAAAATATATTACAAATAATACTAAAATATGTATGGGTTTCAGTTAGTTACATAAAACGATACAGCTTTCATTATAATAGCTATAAACATAAACTCATAATATATTATAAAGATTACCCAGAGGACCACTTTCTGACGTCACTTAGTACCTTGAAGTTGTAGGAATTTAATGCTTCCTATCAGGTAGAAGCATTTCATATCGAATTCATAACCATATCGAAACGTTATATTAATTGAATATTTTATCCTAACCATTCATTTCAGATTGATAGACGTCAAATGGGGCTTCTTATAATGACTCAACTGTAAAACGAATTGTTTCTACTCTTGTAAATACCTAAAAGAACAGACAAAAGCTGTATGGGTTTTATCTCTTTGTCTTAGTAAGAAAACAGTTTTAGTGTGGCAAAATTTTACAGAATTCTCCTATTTTAGTAGAATTCAAGTGAAGAGTTTCTTAGATTATGAAGAGGGATTGGAAAATAATAATTTGCAGTTTCTAAAATTACTTATAAAATTTTATGATGAAATCATTTTAATGTACAGGGGTCATCCATGAATTATACAAGACTTTATTTTGCCAGTTATTGACCCTCCCTCTTTTTCCCCAATGTAAGATAAAATAAAAATCAACTGACTCCGTTCTCTTCTCTATTAAATAATTATTAAGTGAAACATATAAATGAAACATATATGAAAATAGTTTTATTTTATTTTTGTTTAATTATTTTATTTTATTCCACAATTAAGCAAAATAAACTTAGCAGAATTTCGTTCAACCGGCAGCAAGCAGGTTAGTAAGACCAATTTAGATCTGGTAACACTGGTCAAGTCTGGTTATCTGTCTTTGTCAGTCAGTTTCAGTTTTTTTTATTTCGTTTCTTGTCGCGTCTCCGTTTCTCGCGACACTGTGCGTCGCTTCGCGGTGCTTTGATCACTAGAAGAGGACGTAATAATTTATGTTGTGTACGCAAAGACAGTTCCTTGCAATTGTTTTTTATTATGCTAGTTTTATTTTATTGTTATTCGAGATGTTTGTGCGTTTAAACTTTAAGATTAGCATGATTTCCATGCAATAGTGCAACAGGCTATAAAAAATTGAAAAGGGTCCGTGTAAACAAGAGAACATTGAGATTACAAGATGCCTACAGACTCGGAATGTGATTGCGATTTGGTGTCGAAAGAGTGGCTGCTAGCTAAGCTACGTTCGGACGAGAGAGACACGATATTGATAGATTGTCGCGGGTCTAATGATTATGCTGTATCGCATATACGTTCAGCTGTGAATTTTTCAATACCAAGCATTATGCTACGACGGCTTGCTGCGGGGAAAATTGAGCTGGCGTCTACAGTACAATGTAAAGAATTGAAAGCCAAAATCGCTCAGTGTCGTACGCGAGGTATATTTGTTTTGTATGGAGATGGTACCTCCAAAGATCCGGATTCTATTCATGGAATCCTTCTGAAGAGGCTGAAACAAGACGGTGTGAATGTGGTTTGCCTGGAAGGTAAGTTTTTAGTATTATCTGTGATCATATTGCATACAAGGCATATTAAATCAGTATTATTTGAAGTGGCTACCTAATGAGTTATAATTAAAGCATTGTACAAATTTCTTAAAACAACTCATGGACGTTATGAATTTTTATTATGACCCTATAACTTTATTGAGGTAGCAATTTTATTGAATAAATGACTACAACATTTTTAATGAGCAAGAAAACTCAATAATTGTCCTAAAATTATTTAATTCTACACAACTTTCCTTTATTTCAAATATCTGGGTATCATGTTGTGGGGAAAGAGATTTTTTTATTTATTTAATAATAAATGATGGCACAACTGTCTCATTAGTACAGTATTTACCAAAATAGAAGCTAAGTCCACACTACAGAGATAGATATTTGTTAAAAAAAAAAAAGAAATGTGTCTCTGCCTGAAACGTTGAAATTTAATTGAAGAATGGACACAAAATATTATAGAAATAAATGTTTAGACAATTATCATATACCATGCATAAATAATGAAGAATCATATATTTTTTTAAGAGAACATATTGTTGTGGAGATTTTTATTTTAAATGAAATTGTTGAAAATATTTATTTAACATATTTATTTTACATTAGAACAAAATTTTAAAAATGGAGTCATTACTAAAATAGAGAATTTTCAGAGAAGCACTTCTTACTAGTATTAGATTATTCAATGCTCTGTTTCTAATAAATATTAAAAATAAATGAGTAATAACTTCAATCATAATTAAATAATCTAATAGGTAAATTAAAAATCAAGATTTATAAACAACTTAGCATCTTACATTTTGCTGTGGCATTAGTACTTGAGGAGAATATCTGCTTTATTCACTTTAGATTTAACTTCTTGATTTAAAAACTCGGTGATCATTTGTTTTAATAAATAAAGCAACATGACCAACAACTGTATAAAAGAATCATATTTAGTTTTCCGAAGTTTAACATGCTTTGTCCTTGTGTGAGTTATCCAGCCAGATGAGCAGCTCTTAACTTTTTATGTTGACCAAAATGTAAATATGTATATTTCAAAATTGATTTGCCAATAAAAATAATTTTAAAAGCTAAGATGACATCTCAATAATACCCACAATTCAATTTAAGAAATGTTACATTTGAATATTATTTATTTTGGCACCTCTTTCCACATTATGTTCATAAATAATGATGTCCAATATTTTATAATTGCTAAATAATTATCTATTGGTTACAAATGATAAATGTATTAATTAATAATATATTTGTAACCGCATTGTAATGTAATATATGCAATAATAATAAGATGGCATTTTTGCTGATTTGCCTTTTATTTAAATTAAATCTGAGAAATACTTCATATATAATAATTTTGTAGTATAACATTCCTCCAGTTTGAATTACCTAAGTGGAGAACACGTAATACTAGTTGCGACGCTCCGTCGTGTCGTAACGTTCCAATTCATTGACAAAAAACATACCTACCTACTTGCGAGTCTCTAGCTGCTAACAATTAACGACCCAATGTTGATAGCAATATGGCGTCCTTTGTAATTTTACAACAGCTGCTTTAGTTACTTTAAATTTTATTATATGCATACAGCAACACATTAAGTTACGGCGAAATGTCATTCAGAATCGATTTGGAACTCTAATGGTAGCATTTCAGTCGAAAGAATATTACTCGTTTTCGAGATTACGTATTTGCCATATTTGACAAGTAACTGACAGTTAACATAGGTTAAGTCTTACTAGACGAAATTTTGATCGGTTTCAGTTGTTTGTCTCAATAAAAATTCATTTTAACATCTTGCGAATATCCAAGTGAATTGCCACCATTAGGAATTTTATTTGAGTTTAAAAACATACGATAACCATTGACATTTTTTAAACTGAGCTACTGGCCACAACGGAGGAAATTGGAGATTTGCCATCTTTAGGCAATTATTTCCTCACACTTTAGAGAAGTACCTACCTACTTGTCAATAGTCGCCAAATATCGTCCGATTATCGTATTTTAGGTATATCGATCTACCAATTTTTTTTTTTGCGATTTGACAATAACCTATATTTATACGAACAAAATTTACGTACTACAAACCTATAGTTCACTCTTTACCTGTTAAGGTTGATTCCTGTGACAGTTATCAGAATGACGTATTATGTGCCTATAGTGTAGACAAAATTAATTATATTCGAGTTAATTAGGAATGTATAACTAATAAGTAAAATTGTTAATTTTTAATTGATATTGCATTGTACTACATTTTCCTTAGTGATGCCTCTAGGTATAAAAAGAAAGTGATACATTATGAAACGTAAAATAGAAATAGTTAAAATGCTTTACCATTGCCATTACTTAAAGAGCTCTGAAGTCTTATACAAAGAAACAAAATGGACGAATATTTGACAAGTATTTGTTTACAATACTTGTTTTTTACTGATCTACAAAAGTTTGAATAAGATTATACTTACAAATTTCGTAAGATTACCTTTACAAAATATTAGACCTTATCTTTTAAAATTAACAAAAACAAGAATGAAGTATGGCAAAACAGCTATAACCTACGGAGGAGCAAAGCTTTATAATAAACTACCTCCCAGCGTTAAGGATGTGGATGCTCTCGGTGCTTTCAAGTCTAGACTATTTTAAATGACCAAAACTTTGTTCGCAAATGAAAATGCCCTGGGTTTTTCTTTGTTTTTCATGCCGCGACATTGCCCGAGTCAAAATAAAATGTACCTATTACATTGACTTCTCATTATAAGTGAGATTTATGCTTTTTACCCGACTGCGCGACGCAAAGGAGGGTAATGTGTTCATCAGTCTATGTATGTATGTATGTTTGTTTCTATGTGGCGTTCTAGAGACCAAATGCGTAGGTCGATTTTGATGATTCTTACGATCGATTCGTCTTAACCTTGCGAGTGTCACTAAAGACATGACAGTACTCAAAATCCACCACAGCGACAACCAGACGCCATATTGTCTAAATGAAAAAAATAAAAATCGATGAACTATGTCGAGTGGGGTGTCGTTAAATGGGTAGTTTAAAATCATCTTTAGGTTCCTTTTATCATTTTTCATTTTAAATAATAGTTTAGGATATATAACGATTTAAAGTTGTTTAACAAAACATTCTCGCTAATTTTCTTACCTACTGATTAAAGTTTTTATTTAAAGTATAAACGATACAGAAAACAAAAAAAAGACAGTGAAAAAGCATGAAGAACAAATATTTTTGGTAAAAAAATAAAGCATATGTAGCTTTGAGCCGAGTTAGGTCTCTAGAGGGACTAATCGTCAGTAGTTTAGACCACCGCAAGTTACTTAATAATCCCCACGGTTTTAACTCCCTCAATGAAATAACTTGATTGCGAAATTTTGCCATCTTATAACGAAGTCAACGAATCGTAACTAAAAAGTATAAAATAAAAATAAATAATTTAAAGAAAAACAAAAATCCCGACTGCGTAAAAACGAATTTAAAAAATTCATTCAAATTTTACTAATCAAATCTTCCCAAGGGGCCCCGACTATGAGTCGTTCTGTTCTGTATTACTTAACAGAATTCTAAACTACTGGGCTTGTTTCTTTCTTTTTAGTTTTTATTTAAGTTAATTCTTTCATGTATTCATTTTTTAAATTCGTTTTTACGCAGTCGGGATTTTTGTTTTTCTTTAAATTATTTGAGAATGAGTTCTGTAAACTGAACTTACAAAATATCCCTTAAATTCTCTTTTATGTACGAGTATTTAAAAACTTCTTGATGTCTCATTATCAAGTGACGAAAGCAAATAGAAAAGGAAAAAATGTAAACTTTTTAATAATAAAAACATAATGTAACCAATAAACGAATGACTGGGGAGAGTGATGAATACTGATTTTAAGAGTTTAGTGTCAACAATAAACGGTCAGTTGGAGTTTACGCTGCGTCTTTAGTTATTATTATTTAAAGTGCGAGGGGCAGAGTCGCCGGAGGTCGGTAGTCATGGCATCCGCCCCGCCAAACGTGGGAGAGGAAGTCGCCAGCTTATTGTGGCTCCTCGCCCGAGACGGCTGAGATTAGGATCGCCGACGTACGCCCGCGCCGCTTCTTCTATGCTTTATTTTATGGACTGTTAAACTTAACCATCTTCGAGACGATTTGTAAGATCTTATTCACAACATCGAATTCATTTTAGTTGTTAATCTGCCCTGCAGTATTTTACCAATGTTTGTCTTTACGATGAGTTATTGAAGTCTCAATGTCATACATAGTTTAAAGTATAAATAATTTTTCGTTATTTAACGTCACGTTTTCGTAATTAGTCGTAAGGACGAAAGAATTGACCAAAGCTATACGATAAAATCTGATTAGATAGAAACGAGGAAGGAAATTTACAGAAAACAATTGTTTAAGTGGAAAAATAAAAGATTAGATATAACATTAATATTCCAGTATAACGTGTGCCAGATGAATAAACACTAGTAATAGAATCGCGCAAATCTGGCTACAAATCCGTCGAACGTCTCACGACTTATCCGTCAGTACGCGACAGATCATCCGTTGAGTGAGCAAGGTTAAATATTATATATTTATCAGTTCCGACATTCCGTGACCAACGAGATCCGACGCATCTTCCGTTAATATGCACCAATTTTTACTGTAGGGTACAAGGTGTTTCTTAATCTCTCACAAATTCAGTTTCTTGGTGATATCCGACCTTCTCATCTGAACCGTTGCTTTAAAAACCACAGCTTGATACATCATTATAAATAAAATGGTCGACAGCCAATTACTGTTTGTTAACTAAAATATAAATTGGCTGTTACAATTTGAATATAAACAAACGGAAGCACGAGTTATAAATATATTCGCTACAGTAGCAGTGAAAGAAACCAGAGTGTTAATGTTGGCTCATATAAACACCAATGATCAAAAGAGGTGCCGGATGCGAATAGGTACTGTTTTGTGCGCGCCCGACGGAAGGGCGTCGCAATCGCAATTGTATTAATAAGT